TACAGTAGTAGATAGCGCGTGAGAGTCGATACACGCCATTCGTTGCGGTCCCGGTCGACTGTGCTAAATATAAGCGCATGCGCATTATCTGCCAGCGATAAAACCGGCATTAGCCATACAATGCTGGAAGCGCTCTAGCTCTGCAACGGAGAGAAAACGCCACATATTTTCTGACCTTCGTAGCCCGTTGGGTAGATGGTATCGTTTCTGGGACGAACAGACATTCGAGGGGTGAGATGTAGAGTAACAGACACACACACACACAGACAAACCCAAGTTCAGTAACCCTCGCTGCGCAGGCGCGCCGAGGGTTAATGAAAGTGCAAACCCTCGGCGAAGTATATAGCTCGCAGAGAGTCTGACACGGGCTAGCTACAGTAGTAGATAGCCCGCGAGAGTCGATACACGCCATTCGTTGTGACTTCTTGTGCCTTCAAGATAGACAGAGCAAGCGGACCCGGTGCTAAAATATATAAGCGCATGCGCATTATCCGCCAGCGATAAAACGGCGACTACCGGCATTAGCCATAAAATGCTGAAAGCGCTCTAGCTCTGCAACGGAGCATTTTCAGAGAAAACCCCGCATATGTTCTGACCTTCGTCGCCCGTTGGATAGATGGTATCGTTTCTGGGACGAACAGACATTCGAGAGGTGAGGTGTAGAGTAACAGACACACACCACACACACACACACACAGACAAACCCAACTACAGTAACCCTCGCTGCGCATGCGCGCCGAGGGTTATCACACACACACACACACACACACACACACACATGTATTGTATATTTCAACAATCAGCTGTCACAATAGTATCCACATCCTGTGCCAAAAACCACTACTTATTAATATTCATAACTAGCTAGACTATTAATACAACAAGCACTAAGAAGCTGCTTAGTTACAAGCCAGAGAGAAAGTCAAGAGAGGAAAAGGTGAGCGAGATATACAGCATAAAACATAGACACTAATGTAAGTATACATTTTATGCCGGACTCCTTGCTGGGGAGTGGTCCCGCCTATTCCAGAGTTGACCTCGGGTCGGAAAGTTAAAGGGACCGAAACCCGTTGTCATACAATGACGGAAATAGGTACTTCCCTGATAACCGGCCGAATACATACCTATGATACTCCTGCCGCACGTGGGTGCGGGCGTAGTAAGTCCCTAGGCTAAGGACCGCATGAATGTTGGGCCTGCTGCCCGAGGCGATGCGGACAAAAGCCCTCCCAGCCCTGCTTCTCCCCCCCTTTCTCCTTAACCCTTCTCCTTTTCTCTTTCTTCACAAATCACACAACACACACACACACAGAAAAACCCAACTACAGTAACCCTCGCTGCGCATGCGCGCCGAGGGTTAACTACTGTACCCTCCTGCGCATGCGCGCCGAGGGTAATTGCTAGAGTGCCTGCTCTCTGAGGGAAATTCCCTCGGGTTTCCCCCTGGATGTTTACCTTTTAGCTTAATACCAGCACATCCAGGAGGGCATTTCTTATGGGTTCTTCCAGGTAGTCCTTTTGCCTTGACTTCAATAATACGTGTATAAGCGTGCTACTATAGTAGTTGCCACCATTGGACAAAACCTTGGTCACAAAGCTCGCATTCGTCAACGCGGCATGCCAGTCGAGTCAAAGATTTTCATGAGAATGAAAGAAGGGGTGTATATCTATGTCTGTTATTCCTGGTCAGTCTTGCTCCAAAAAAACAAAGAATTACCAGACGGTTTTTAATAGGATTTGTGAACCTGTTTGTGCATGCCCATGTATAGGAAATGGTCACACAGTACAGAGACCAGATGGCTTGCTACAGGCAGGGCACTACATTCCTTCTTTATTGGCAAGCGAAGCAAGCCCACCTAGATAGTGATCTGAATGTGATTGGCGAGCGGGAGCGAGCCAACCTAGTCGTTCGTTCTAGCGGAATTTTCTGTGTATATATATATATATATGCGTTCGTACGTCGTGTAAGTGCGCATGCGCGTATTTGTACGCGCTTCTTTTTATCCGAAATTATTTCAACTCTCCTCCATTCGACGGAATGCGCTCGAACCTAAGGTGACTGACCGAAGCTGTATATACCTCTTCCCAATCTTCATGGTTCCAAGCTGCAACTTGCATAATACGCTAGGGCACATACTGCTGCATGCCAGTTGCAAGGTGGACCACGACTGACGAGCTGAAAGCGTAAGGTAAGTACCGTTCTGCTCACCTGCTCACCGTTCTGCCAATATACAGTACACATGTAGATAACGGCGACAGGTAGATCTGTCTTGCTTCATGAAAAGAAAGCTGTGCGCTGACGGCACATTATGCAGCCCGAACATCGCGGTCAAATCCCAAGTTGGGTCGCTCCCGCTCGCCAACAATGTTCAACATTTCCACTAGTACATATTTAGTTGTAACATCGGGTAACTGCACATACCGTAGTGCTATATGTGATTCTAAATACACGTGAAACACCTGAAAACTGAACTGCTCACTTCGTTTGCACCTATTTATTTACTTAGTCTGGGATAACTGGCTCACAGTAAATTGTACTTATGTATGTGTGGATTACTTGAAACAATTATGGAATATGTCATAATTGCCGAGCGCATTAGCGCGAGGCAACTACTCCGGGTTGTATTCTCGCGATATGCGTACGTACGTACGTACGTACGTCGTCAATTAGTCACGCTTAGGAATGTCAATTAGTCACCAAAAGGAAATGTAACTTCCGTCAAAGTCTAGCTTCCCCCGTGCGTGCAGATTCGTAAAGAAGTCTGGCTTCGCGCGCAGTCAGTAGAGTGCGCGCACGAGCGGCCTCAATCAGACTGTTTACGCATTGGCTGACAGGCGCGAGGCAAAATATGCGTGTGTGCATTCCTAGTAATTTTGTTGCCAAGCGTCAATGCGCCAACTTGTGGTATTGGTATTGTAATCTGACAGTCACATTCCACCTGCAGTGAATGCATAATAAACATCAATGACGTCGAGGCTGCAAGGCAAAGCAGTGCAAACAAGTTAACTACCTTTCCAAGGAAAAAAGAGGAGCTGCCGTTGGTTGGATAGGAATCCACGATACTGCACTCTAGACAGAGCATTATTACTACCAGAAGGTTTCCTGCACTTCAGAAATGTCCAGGAAGAATTTAAAATGTGTATATAGGAATTGCAAGAAGGGTGTAGGAAGTAATGAAAAAGTGAACGAAATATTCCAGCAAAATCCCCGTATGTCCAGGAAGACCCCATAATTATTCTTCCTACATTTTGCCAGAAATTTCCTACATGTGCAGGAATTTCTGGCAAAATGTATACATCATGATATGGGTTTCTTTTTTTAAATTGTTTGTATACGTATGGCATTATCTTGTTGGGATATAGCAAAAGCTAGGTGCAAAGGTCAGTCCAGTAGTCTATTGAAGACAGACAGACAGCCACGTTACTCAGTTGTGAAACTACAAAACTAAAGTTGAAGGCTGCCCGTACACCAAAACAAATTAAATTTATGTGTAAAGTCTACTATAGATTAAAGCTCCTCCCTACTCCTATACAAACACACTAGCTAGTATAATTATGTTGATACAGGTCTGTCTTCCTGATAATACATCCCTAGCCTGCGCCTAACGAATACCTACCTCCATAGTAGCCCTAGCGAAATACTCTACTAGGTCTATGGATATACCTACACAGCCAGGCCTAAGGGTTGTGCTTATGGTCTACATTAATCCCTGGGCACACATGTCGGACAAGCTACATTTCCGCTGTCTCAATGAAAAGCACTAAAGTGCAAACCCTCGGCGAACTGCGCATGTGCGGTACCACTAATTGATGGGCTGGGTTATTTATGCCTTTACTCGTGGTATCCCGCTAGTAGCTCGCGGAGAGTCTGGCACGGGCTAGCTACAGTAGTAAATAGCATGCGTGAGTCGATACATGCCCTTCGTTGTGACTTGTTGTGCCTTCAAGACACACAGAGCGAACGGACGCGGTCGAGGTAAGCCTGTGCTAATTTACATATTGGCTTGTTCACTTGGTTTTCACGCCATAACTTTAAAACACAGTAGTTTTACGAAAATCGCCTTTTTTAAAAAATCAACCCAGTGTAGTACTGAACCCGATCATATCGCTATTTACCTGATTTCGTGCGCGCGGTGGCAGAAAGACGTGGTAACAGACAGACGGAGACAGACAGACAGACAGACACACTTACGAAACAACTACCGTAACCCTCGCTGCGCATGCGCGCCGAGGGTTAATAAAGTGCGCAAGTTGGAAGTGCACACAGCCCTAACAGGCCACCGTAACTATGACTTCACTGACAGTACTGTGGAAGTTCCTAGAAGAGAAAGAAGCTACACCAAAACAAGTGCATGTCATACTCAACTGCATGAATACATCAGTACATCAAACCTCAATTCAGAGCTGGGTGGAGGAAGTGCATGTGGTATTTCATACCTGTGACCAAAGCCACAGACCAAAAAGTAACTGAAAGGAGTGACAGGTTGATACACGCAACTGCCATGATGTGACTAGTACTGGGGAGTCCACTAAATTGCGGGCTCCACTAAATTGCGGGCCTTAATTTCGTGCGCGCGGTGGCAGAAAACGTGGTAACAGACAGACAGACTGACAGACTGACACACTTACGGGACAACTACCGTAACCCTCACTGCGCATGCGCGCCGAGGGTTAATCACAGAGCGGGTACTTGTGCAAGTCACTTCCAGTAACAGCCTTGATCTTTTCTCTAACCTTGTAAAACATGCGGAATGAATGAATGTTTGAGAATGCCATAATGGGCCACATGGGGCTGTTTCTGAATACACACATCTGGTAGCTATATGGGTATATACACTAGTAGACACACTGAAACAACCCAAGCTAGCACTACAACTTGAGTAGTAAGCTTGTATGTTTAGCATGTTACTAACAAAGTATTATGTTACTGTGGTGGATGCAGTCTATTATTTCGCTCTGAGCAATAAAGGATAATTTTTAAATACTCTCCATATTTTTAGAATGGATCAAGTTGTACAAACACATGGAAAAGCAGTAGCCACCCATGCCCTCAATGCCAGTCAGCAGCTCAAAGAGAGGAGTCTAGATGAAGCAAAAACTTCACTGATTAAAGCTGGAGTAGGCATTGTGAAACATATGCATGAAGTGAACAAACTCTTACAACGCTATAGAGCGGTAGAAGATTTTTACAAGACAAAAGAAGAGAACCTCATTGCTAAAATAGATGATACCCTTGCTCAGGAAAAGAACGCACAAGCTCAGCAATTGTCTGCAACCACCAAGCTTCAGCTAGAAAGGGAAGAACTGCGCCAGCATGAATCAAACCTTTATTCAGCGAGGATGGAGTTTGAGGAGGCAGATAAGAAACGCAAGGAAAACAATGCAGGCACTATCACTACTGGTGTTGTTGCAGGGGTAGCAGTTCTAGCCATTATCTTCACATTTGGTGCAGCAGCTCCAGTTGCACTCCCAGTAGCTGCAGGGGCAACGGCTGGTGCAGTCGCATTTGATCGCGCTGCAGACAGAGCTAAAGACAACATGCGCAGGAGTGAGGGTAAAACAAGGGATACGAAATCCAAGATTGCTTCGACTGAGAATTCAATACAATCCCATTCGAATACTATATCCCAACTGAACCGAGAGATTGAGTACTACAAAAAAGAGCGAAGATGCTTGCAAGAGACGAAAGGGAAAATAAAGAAGGTCATAGTGTTTTTGATTGATGCACAGGTTTATGGAAATGAGTGCACAACAGTGATGGATAGTTGCAGCCAACGAACTGCTCTAGTAACGAAGATAGTTGACAAGGCGGAAAAGAAAAGTTACAGTCTGTTTGATTGCCATGGAACAGAGCGAGTTTTGACCTCATTTGAAGAAGCATGGGATACATTCGAGAAAATGAATGCAACTGGTGAAAGCTACAACTTCAAGGTCGAATTTGAGTGCTCCAACTGCAATTGTTCCTGTAATGAGTTTCCTCATGTTAGTTCTATTCAGCTAGTGTGCGCTAACTGCTGCAGTGGCCTTTAGACTTTTTGGACAATTAGTTATTGAAAAACCATTTAGGTGTCATACATGCATGTTTTTTTTCCTATACGAGTCGCCTAGATGGTCAGTGTACTTTCTACTCATTGAACTATAGAACGAATACATAGATCTATTTTTAACGTTATTCAGAGGGCCAGAATACTGTGACACTGGGGCACCATTTGCACAACTACATCACAAGTATATTACCATAAGTAAAATATCTAACAATGTGGTTCAAAACAAACACAAAAACAATGTTACTCACATTTAAAAAAATGTGTAGTGACACAGCTATAACTCTCTGCTCAGTTTATTAATAACACAAGTACAGTATTAACAGAGAGCCACCCTACTATATACCATATTATACGCCGTAAGATTCAAAACCTAGGCACTATGAAAGCCTCTTATTGACAAGAATATTTCAATCGTGATAGGCGGGGTATAATTTTAGTTAAAGGCGATATCACTTTTTAGCCTTACGTTTTATGCACATGTTTTTTCAATGCAATAATCTCCTTAGTTTGCTGTGTATCCTTTGAAACTCTGTGGGGCCCAAAGCCCCTTGAGGGCCTTTTGATTAAAAAAACATGCAATGCAAGCGTTAAGAAAATGCTAGAAAAAACAATGATCGTAGGATTCCAACTCGTTACCTTCAGTGTATCAGTACATCCTGTACGCTATTCGCACGTAAGACCTTTAGACGAACAATATAGAAAGCCAAATGGCCAAACAGTATAGTGCATGTATTACTCATTGCAAAATATGGGCCTCTTCGTTCACAATTCCAGGTATTGCAGTGGCTTTAGGTCAGGATGACTTCTTATACTTATTGCAGGCAGTATATTTACAGAAAATTCAGCAATACTTCTAGATTTTGCAGCCTTGCAGACCTTTGTTTTCCATGGCCCATGCGGCTTCTCATAAAGCCCTAAGTGAAGGCATATGAGTCTTGGTGCTTGAATGAGTCTACTTGCAGCTTCCAGTTGAATAGACCTTGCTGTGAGGTAACAGTGGGTCAAACGTCTACTTTTGATCAATCCCAATACAAAGTCGGAAGTAATAAAACATCCAGGGCAATACAAATTGATTTTCTCAATACTCCAGTAGCATGTACTGTCAGTTGGTAGGGTAAAAACACTTGTTGTGCAAAGGTTTACACACTGTAGGTTTGGGTGAGACGACAAAAGATCTTTTAGTCCACAACCGTTTAATGAGAAACGAGCACCAGGTTGCTCTGACATCCACAGCACCCTCAAACTAAGGGGCATCAATTGACTCAGGACTTTGAGACTCTCATCCGAAACTGTACGACAGGTTATACAGTTGGTGATTGGTGATGGAACTACATATCCAATCTGCAAGAAAAGCAGTATGCCAATGTTTCTCTGTTGCATTGGGGAGTCTAGCGACAGAGTACAAAATTCAACTGCCAAGTAAAAGAGTTTTCTAAAGTTTGATAGGATATTCCAGAGCAAGGTTTTGTCACCAATAGCATGAATATTGGATATGTTTAGCCCTTTTAGCTGCAAACACGTCTTGGAAATACTAGCTAGCCCGCTCAAATCACTAAGTGCATTGCAACATGCATTTAGGGAAAGAAACTTTAACTCTGGACAATGGCAGGATATTTCTCGCAGAGACTCACTGGTCACATCAACACATCCCTTTAAATCAAGGTGAGTGAGTGTAAGAGCTACTTCAGAGAACTCTGTTGTCCTGCACACACTGGGCAACTGGTCAGAGGTTGGGATCGAAGTAGCGCATTGTGGCTCTGAAAGGACTAGCAGAAGAGGTGATGATGTGATGCCACTACAAGTGGTGACCGGTACATAACACTCCCCATTTTCTAGTATTACTTCAAGGAACGGATATCGAGAGAAAAATTTAAGGGGACCATCACTGCATGCTGCCTGGAATACAAACCGACTCTCAGAAGGTAGTGTAAAAGGAGACCGTGTGAAAACATCCAATTCATACAGATTTTTTAGCAACGACTTATGGTTACGACTCCCAATTACAAACTTTTCTGGAAAAAAGTCATTGTGCAACCAGAAATGAAGTGGTGATATCAAATCATAAGCAAATTCCACAAGTACTTCGAAAGATTTTAGTGACGGTATATTCGGAAAATAAATACCATTTTCCCACTTTATTTCAACAGTAATGTGAGCAAGGAGTGAACAAGTACTTAATGCTTCAATTAGTTGTTCTGGTGATGGAAAGAGGCCAACTAGAGAAAGCTGCGCAAGACTTGAACATTTACGAATATGTTTTGCGAAACGTGCCCAAGGAAACCTATTGAAGAGGCTTCGGCCATTAATTTCCAATGTCGTTACCCTATGAGAGCATAAATCTAGAGTAGCATCCAGTGCTTTTCTGCTAGCAGTGCTATAGTAATCAAAGGACAGCGAGCTCCACATTGCCGGATCGCTGATAGCCAAGTACATCCTACGGCACGTGAGCCTCAGTCTAAACTTGTCGAGTGGTTGCAGTAGAATAAGGATACGATGTAGGATCTCCCCAGGAATGACATCCTGTAGATAATTCCTCGTGTCCACGTCAGGAGGGCCCGCACTGCTACTAGCCGTTTCCATGCCTCGTTCAGTGCACCGTGCGATAGGCCGGGTCGGGGGCGGCGGACGCTGTAAACCTTTCGACACACCCTTTCATGCCGCGCACGCGCACTATGGCGATCCCCGCACGGCTTCTGTGTCTCACTCAATCCGGTAAATTTTGTGATCGAAAGGGTAGTTATGTCGAGCCAGGACGGTTGCTGATCAATAATAATAACATTATACTACAGTTCATATGCCCATATACTTATTTTGTAAATCAGTAAAAGCTGGAGCAATGTGACTGGCTCGCAGGAGATGCCTTTTTGCACTGATATCGTCCTGACTCCAGTGCAGAAGCTGGTCCTCAGGGTCATGTAGCACACGGTATGCTTCACTGAACGTAGGACGAAGATGAGGTTCAGGATTCCTGGAGGGATTCATTACGATACCTTTTGTAAAAAATGTGTTTGATAACAATAACTAACCAACAGTCGACCATAAGTGAATACACTGGTCGAGGGCACCCAGATGGAGCAGCCAGGCATTGCTTGTTCCGACCTCGAGCTATGACATCGATATTGCTGAGATCGTGGAACGGCTTGTGCCCCACAGACCAAATCTCATAGAGAACCATGGCATAGCTCCATACATCACTGGCTGTAGAGTATTTCTTGTAAAATAGGGCTTCTGGAGCTGTCCATTTCACAGGGATCATGCCACCATTTGACTTATAGTAAGTATTATCCATCAAGTCTCTTGCCATTCCAAAGTCACCAACCTACACAAGATATTTTGATTTATAAAAATAATTACTCAGTGTATACTGTTTGCCTTGCAGGACATGCAGTCATCCAAGAGAATGTTCCTAGCTGCAAGGTCTCTGTGGACAAAAGCCTTTTTCGATAGGTAGGCCATCCCTGCTGCAATCTCCCGTCCATACTTGAGGAACTGGCGGGGAAGACCTCTTTGACTGTGGTGACTATATATACCGAGGGAAGGTGTTAGAGTGTGAACAGCTGTTAACTAGCTATACATCTCACCTGATAACAATGTTGTTTAAGTAACTCTTTAAATCTCCATTGGGCATGTACTCCAATATAATCAAAATCTGTGATTTAATGAGTTAAACAACATCATGCATTAGTTGCCACTAAACTGGATCTCCAACAGTGACAACTCCATGAAGACGAATGATATTTGGATGGTGAAACTGGCCCATAATGGCTGCTTCCTGCAAGAACTTGACTCTCTCTCCCTCGCCAGCCTGTTTCTTCAACGTCTTAACAGCAATTTGCATGCTCTCACCACTATACACCCATTCTCCTCTAGATACCATACCAAACTGACCTGAACCTATCTGTTCAACAATACTGTGTACAAAGAGTTAAAAAGAATATTAGTGTCAGGGAGGGGAATTCACCATATTTGGTTGCGGTTGATTTCACGATAGCGTTTGATGAACAGTTGCTCATAGAGATCAAGTGTAGTTGAAGCTGGAGCCCAGAAAACTGGGTCATGCTCAAAAAACTCCAGATTACTATAGCTCTCTTCCTGCAGCAAGAAAGTGATGACTTGTGTTGCAAACTTAAAGAATAGCCTCACATCTGATGGCATCTGCAGCAGGTCGTACTTATGTCTGGCTTCCTACAGAGCAGACCAATTGCTATGGTATCAGCTTATGTACACATTGGAAGTAGTTCAAAAGCTACCATACAACGGAACTGAAAATAGACTTGGCTTACCAGTGTGGGGACCCATGTTCCGACAGAATCAAATATACTGACATTAGAGTATGCCTCATTCTGCACAAATTAATCACAATGGATGCACATAACTATATAGCTACCTATAAAAAGTTCATATATACCACATAGGAAGGTGAGGTAGGGTCTTCATATATTACAGTGTAGTCAATGCATTTTTTTTCAAGGGTGTCACTTGGCAACTCATAAGTTGGGGGTTCTTTTCGCTCTAAGGTAGCATAAGGGTGGTTTTCAGCAGTTTCAGTAACTGCCAAGGATGATTGCATTTCACAATGGTTATCTTCTCTCCTGACAGTCCACATCACTCCTGTATACATTTGCAAGAACAAGATATCTGACAATGACAATAGCATAGGTACCTGAAGGAGTTGGGTGTGATTGGTTACTGCGTGGAGATTGGCCCACATTTCGCCTCTTTATAATCAAAACCGTAAGTATACAAGCAGTCACAGTGGCTTCGAAAAAAGAATTGTGACAGTGTAGTTATCTTGTAACCTTGTTGTCAACTTACCAATTACAGCAATGATGACAGCCACTACCAAACCAATTAAAATATAACTGGTAGCTGACTCGGTTGGTGAAGATGGAGATGCAGTTGTTATGTGGGGAAGGACGGTGGTGGAGGAATAATCACTGGTGACAAAGGAACTAGTGGAAGTTTTTAGCTGGGATGATTCTTGTACTGAAGGCAGTACATTGTGTGTTGTAACATCGACCACTGTACGCTTTACCACAGATGATGCTGAAGGGGATTTATAATAAATATTAAAATTGTGTCTAAAATACTGTATTAACACACCTGTGATGCTAACACCTGTGACAGCAACACCTATAACAGGAAGAGCAGTATGTTTTCTGTTGAGAGAGTATGAGCCCTCATTATCCATTACTGCAAAACCACATTCAGTCGGACTACGTCCACCAATGGCATAATAGGATTTTAAAGCATCCTTTGAAAGGCGATCCTTGTAATACACAACGACATCACGGTCATCTTCTACCCACTGGATACCTCCATCGTTTTTGTCGTCAGTCCCTCTTCTGAAACGGTCAACGTAGTATCCCACGATATCTCCTACCTTGACTTCTATTTGTTGATTATCTCTCACAGGCAATACAACACAGCGATGCAGTGGGCTGCGATCATCACCAGGTGGACTTAGGAAACCTTCAGCTTCAATGATGATATTGCTGTCTGATATTTCTCTCTCTTCCTCCATGGCATTATCCAGTGGTATGTTGAAATCTACTAAACTATAACATCCATCGCCTGTACCAGTGGGTCTCCAAACTTGGAACTGAATGTAGTAACGCTCATCAACTTTACCACCGGGCTCTACACAAGCTCTCCATTCAGTTACTTTACCAGAACACTGGAATTTATATGCAGGCACTAGAGCTTGAAATTTGTCGTAATCAGGTCTATTACGGTGCTGTGTACTTCCAAACTCCGGTAGCCTGTCAACACTGCACTCAAATAATTCTGGAGGATAAAGAGGAATGATAGCTATGTATCTATGACAGATATCAGTTTAGCTACAAACTCTCCCCCATTACCTGCGGTCACAGTGAAAAGTAACACAAAGAGGATGGAGGTACACATCCAGACACACATAATAAACTAGCTAGCTATAATTGCAGACTATCAGAATGCCAAAAATAGGTGCACTGCAGCAATCTTATGGCAAAGTTGATGCTGTCGTCACGTTTTGCGCGTTTTGCGATTGTCGCAGCGGAGCGGATGAATCCCGGGAGGGGGGGGGTGGGGCAGGGGGGGCGGGGCAGGGGGGGCGGTGTCGCGGGGGGGGAGGGGGAGGGGGACGGTCAAGGAATGGGTGTGGTTGTCGCTGGTCGAGGAGGGATAATGGACCGCGCCACTGAAAGATGGAGATTCCTGAGAAGAGCAATTCTAGCAGCCAAAAGAAGGAATTGTGAAGACGATGGTATATTTTCCTCCAGTGTCAGAGCGTTTGGGAGTTTTGACCTGTTCCGAGTCACTGATGCTTGTGCGGAAAGTCAGACTGGGCGGTGGCTCAATTACTCGTATACCACTGATAATGCTGGTATAATATGTGAAGCTTCTGTTAAGACTTTGCAAACATCATTCTCTTTAGATGCAATGATAGGCTTCAACAATACCGGGAATGTATGTGTGTGGCCTGCAGAGGAAGTGATGGCGCATCAGTGTATGGAACACGTGGACATGTTCAAGGATACCGCTGTTTGTGAACTAGGCTGTGGCATGACCGGTTTAGCTGGGCTCATGCTAGCTTGTTCAAAATCGCCTTCTCAAGTTTTACTCACTGATGGAAATGAGGCATCGGTTCAAAACGTCAAGGAGATAGTGGATACCAATAGATGGCGGTTTGAAGGATGCACGAGTGTCTCATGTGAGGTGCTAAGGTGGGAAGGCATGTCACTGAATAAAGACAACGTTGGGAAGTTTGACTATGTGGTATGTGCTGATTGCCTTTTCTTTTGTAATGTTCACTCTGAATTAGCCTTAACTCTTCTGAAGCTACTAAAACCTGGTAAAGGTGTGGCCATTTTGTTTGCACCAAGGCGAGGAGATACACTGGAAAAATTTTGTGCTGTCGCTAGGAAATACTTCCAGGTTGAGTGTACTGAGCGCTACAGTGAGCTTGTGTGGAAAATCCACCAACAAAAACCAAGTAACTTCAACTTGGACCTCCACTACCCCTTGAAAATTGTCTTGAAACAACAACTTTAATACAATAACAAATGTGAATTAAAATGGATTGACAATAATTGCATGACTATATCAGTCACATGATAGTAGTTTGTGCTCTTTTCTCTTCCCATTTTAGAATGTTGACAAACATGTTGTGTATTGCAGCAGGATTTACGTTCCCTAGATCTAAAGGAAAAGGGAAAGGGAAACATGGGTGCATTTATAATTAATACGGAAACAGTAGTCATACCTGCTGGCTCTATTCCTTTGACATTGATCCCAGCTGAAGCCATGAACTCGTAAGCAACCTTCCAATTATCTTGTCGGTGTAATTGCACCTTAGGGTGCCTGTTATGTTTGGGTGCTTTCTTTCCGATTGCAACCTGCACCAAGTGAACCGGTTCACGTCATCAAAACATGAAGTAAGACAAAACTTACTGAAAGTGCTTTGAGGATGATTGTGCCGTCTGCAAGGGAACCAGAAATGTCACTGACAGCCTCAGTTTGGGGTAGGTACCCATTCACCCAATCAATGTATTCCTGTGTATACACAGAGTCCATTGTATAGGATGCGCTCACAGCACAGCTGCAACATAATTCTTATGACATTCTTACCAGCTCTGCATTCATCAACTGCATTGAAGTTGACCTAGCAATAGGCATCTTTGCTCCAAACTGCAAGTATTCACGTTTGAGCAAATGAAGATTCTGTTGTGAGTACAGATTTTCCATAGCCTCACCTGTGTGAAGTACCATGCATTGAACACCCTCTTCATCAGTCGCTTGTCGTGGTATGTGATGGCTTTGTCAATGTCGTTCTTCGTTACAGCTCCAATATTGCGAACATGGATCCAGGCATAGAATATTTTGGCCAAAAGGTCTGTAATGGGGAACATGTTGACAAAGAGAAAAATGATTATGAAACTTGCCTCTTCTTTTTCTCTGTGCCATTTTCTCAGCCTTGCGGTACTAAAAATGTATAAACACATAAAGGTAGTATAGTTTATTTTTGTTGCTAGCCTTACAATGGTCTTCATAATCTGCATATATTTCCTCCATTCTCTTATGAATTTCCTCTTAGTTATCAGTCTTTGGAACAAAACTGCTTTGTCTTCATACGTTTCCTTGTTCATGTCAATGTTTTCAATAAACACCTTTGTATACACACATAAATGGGACTTACAGCTTCATGGACTATCTCTTCTGGCACTTCTTCAACTGTTACGAGACGAATTGGCTTCTTATTTAGTAACCTTGGATAGCGAGTAATCATCCGGGTCCGGGTCATATCTCCAGCAGCACGCCTGGGACTCCCCATGCCAATGTTTCGAGCCATCATTGGCCGCTTTGGCACTTGTGCTTGCACAAAACCTGTGGAATTTTAATTGTGTGTAAAACATCTATCGATCTCCCTATTATGTTATACATACCTGATTCCTCGTCAGATGAATCAGAGCTCTCTGAACTGGAAGTAGAGTCATCGGAGGTGCTGGAGTACTCGCTGCTTTCTGAGTCGCTTTCACTAGAGTTCAGCAAACCAGCCTTTATATATAATTATTGAATGTGATTATTTTAACTGGTGTCTAATGTAAAGCACATATACCTGCACACCACTGCCACTTGTGGCAGAAGAGGGATGCCTCATTTGCTTAATTGTGGGCCGAGAAGGGGAGGGTTTGACTGCAACTGGTCTGGAGTTGATCTGCTGACTACCACTGATTTCTGGCTGTTGCTTTTGGAGTGGTTTTCGACTGCTTCCCATGAGGAAAATGGGAGCTGCCCTCTTTGGCGGTGAGCCTGCTTGTCTGCCCATAGGCTGCGCAGTGTGTTGTTTCTGTGGCGGAGATAATGGAGCAGTTTGTTTTGCCTGAAAGCGACCTATTTCAAGTGGCTTCATTTTAAGAGCCTGTGGTGGGGAAACTTGTTGAGGTGATTTGGAGAGAGAGTTCAGAGAAGAATTGGAAAGATGGGGGCTGGCCATTTCGAGCTCACGGCTGACTTCATCAAATGCACTTGCAATGCCCCTCCTTGGTCCTTCATAGGGTGATTTGGCAGGTATAGGTGTTAGTTTTCTTGCTCTAGCTTTTCGATCCCTATGAGAACTACTTTGTGGCACAGTCAACTGGTTGTATTGCCGGTCAAATGCATCATCGTCATCTTTGGAACCCTTTCTCCTCTTTTTCTTTAGCTTTTTCTTTTGTTGTGATGTTTTATCACTTTTTGAGGAGCTGACTGAACTGTGGTCTGAATCAATGTCCGACAAGTGTTCATCGTCTTCATTGTGAACACCATCTTGATGGGGGATAATCTTCTTACCCCTTAAATAAGCAGGCCGTTTACCAAGAAGGAACTCTATGGTGGGAAGAGAAGGTGGAGAGAGTAGGCTATCTTCTGCTTCATCCACCACATGCAATGAATCTAGAAGAGATGTAGATTTAGACTCCCAGCTATGAGAAGCGTTGACATTGCTTGTTGTGGCTGGATTTATTTTCGCAGGCCATAACTTTGTCAGAATTGTGCCCTTCCCAATTGAATTGCCTGGAGATCTGTGGAATCAAAAGGTAATTCGTAGTTTGTGCTATTATTTGTGTGTCACTAACCGAGATTCAATTTCCCAAGTTCTCTTTTCCACGATGCCCCTTTCTGTTATTGATTCATTCTGTTATGGAAGAAGGTTACATTATTTATGAATACGTAAAAGAATAACCTTACAGCTGGTGCAGCTGGTTGGGAAAGTTTCCTTATGTCTGAGTTTTGGGCTTTACTCTTGTGTCGTTTCTTACTCCTCTTGCCTTTCTTCCACTCCGCCATTGAAGGTTCTTTGTCTTCAAGACTTTCTTCAGCCATCAAGCGATCTCTGATTTCCTGCAAATTGTATTTGTACATCATTTTGAAGGAAAGGTATTTCCTAGCTAGTTGGAGCAGTTATTTAGTTTTTTTCCAACCCCTATAACTTGAGCCCTATCTCTCACCCCGAGCTTCTCCCAGATGTTCATGTGGAGTCTTGAAACTTTTAGCAGCCATTCGACTAAGGCATACAATTGTCATTTTTATATAATGGGCTCCCTCAAGTCTCGTATAAGCACTGTCACCCAATTGCAAAATTTATGGCCCTGCTCTATACATTTGCTCACACTATATAACAGTTGGATGCATTTTACTCAACACTGGATACCTTCTACCTTCAACTGCCTCCATAGAACTACTCATGGGATCTTCCAAACTATATATTATATATCACACTTTACGCAGCAATACCTTCTCATACTCCTTCTCTCTTTTCATAAGTTCCCTCTTTCTTTTCTGCCTCTCCTCAGCCTCTCGGCGCATGTTCTCCTCCAGATCACGTCTCTTACGGTTAGCTGATGAAACCGTGTGGTTGCTATCTGCCGGTGTCAAACTATCCAATTCCGATTCGTCCATCAAATCATGAAGGGTCTGCAGAATAATAGCAATACTGTGATAGGTCTTATAGTAGCTCCTGTCACAGTGGCGTCCCTATTTTCACTTGTTAACAGGGCATCATAAGCATGAGCAAATTCAAAGTGCTTCCAGCAATATAGTCTTGTCGTAATGCATCATTCTACGCACTGGTCACTGCGGTTTAAGGTTGGAATTTGGGTCCAAGAAAGGTGCAACGAATTAATCCTTGTTGTGTTGTCATAATAGTGACCTACAATGTAGCTATTTTTCTCATGAGGCTACATGATTGTGTAAGTACCAGGTGTGTATCCAGGGGGAGGAATTGCTTGCAATCAGGCTCAGTATTTGAGGTTATACAACTTTAGTGAGTCTATGTGAACGAGTTTAGGATCAGCTAGCCTCGCTGGGCTAAAGTTTTAAAGCCTAAGCCTTGATTTACGTGAGCGCGTAAGTATCATGCACGCACAAAAGTGCACATACATGTGCTTACTAGTGCATGCTTATCTGCCATCCAGTGTCCCCTCCCTTTTACACTGCCTATAGTTAAATGTACCTCCCACTGACTGTCACCATCCAAAGAGTCAAACTCCTCATCATCATCTTCATCAAAAACACTCACAGGTCTCTGTTACAAAGTTAGAAGTAAAATCTGTCAGTGTGTATGGACACTACAGGAAAACTATACACTTCATGTCAGAACACACATTGTGTAAAGAATGAATTATGTAGGTTGTGAATAATCACTAAGTACGGTAGTACTTAGTATATAGGGATGAGCATGGTGGGCTATATTAGGGAGTTTTCTACTTCTTCTTCTGCAAACAATAGCCCCAGGCAATACATTATAATGGATCGCATGTGTCAGTGTAACTCACAAATGGTAAGAGCTATGTGAACCTAACTTTGTATACATCATATTCAATCATCAAAATCACGACAATACACGTTTGTAAACAGCAACAAATAGCCTCAGGCACTTTTATTTAAATTTACTTCTTTGCCCCTCTAACTTTCTAATGGTAGCACCCATAGAGATAAAACTTGGTACACATGTGTATTATGTCATTTCAATGACACCTACAAGTTTCCATGACAACCAAATATTTATAAACAAAAAATAGGCACTTTTAAAAAGTACTTCTTTACTCATACGGTAGCACGCATGGAGATGAAACTTGGTACGCATGCGTATTACACTGTTTCCATGACGACCACATATTGTTTGAACAACAACAAATAGCTTCAGGCCTTTACTTCTTCGCTCCTCAACTTGCTAACTGCAGCACACATGGAGATGAAACTTGGTACACATGCGTATTACATCATTTCCATGATGACAGCAGGCATTTTTCGCTATTACTAATTCTATAGGGGGCTTGCCCACTTTCACGGAGATATACATTGTAGTATATAAAAATGAGTGGAGACTGACACCCCCGACCCCATCACACCCTATCACAATCCCTATATTGTTACCTAGGTAACGTTCACCATTACAATAGTCAGGACGTACAGCCAAAAAAATTCATGCTACTGAGTAGCTAACCAACACTGTTATAGGGAGTTTGAGAGTGGCACACCAGGCAACAATGTAGGGATTGTGTGATGGGGTCGGGGATGTCAGCTTTATGTATCCCATCCCTATATGCCTCTTAGGATTTTTAATTTACTTGTAATAATAATGACTTTGATTATCACTACGTACCTGATGGGGTGGAGCATTGCGATAGCTATCAATTATGTTGGCTTTGCTAGGATTTTGTCGTCGTTTTAATTTGCTCCCGGAAGTATCCTGTGGCAAGTGACCCATAGCAACAATGAATTCTAATAAAGTCACATACCATCTTTGAGTTGCTACTCTTCTTGGCCTTTGGTACTTTGCTCTTCCCTAGGCTGGCAAGATACCTGGCACATTTACTGTGATGGTTTTTCTCGGCTAGATCTTTTGGGAAATTTCCCTCAATATCAGTGAGCAAGTGGTCTGCTCCAGCTTCACACAGGGCCTGAATGGCTCTGTGTAAATTATTATGCCAAGCATCCAGATAATAATAAACGAAGTAATCTCACTTTAGGTGTCCATGCTCTGCAGCATCATGTAGTGGTGTGCACTGATAGTAGTCTCTTTCATTTCCTGTGCACTCCTTCTGTTCCATCAGCCACCGGATAACATCTACGTGACCTATGCAATAGACACACATCATAATTATGTTTGATATTTATGTGAACTTGTTCTACCATCTGCTGCAGCATGGTGAAGGGCTGAAGCTCCGTCATTGGATCTCAATCCACCAGGGGCAGTTGCTGAGCCAAAGCGAAAAAGGTATGTGACACAGTCAAGGTGACCCGCAATTGTGGCGGCATGTAGGGGTGCATGGCCTTGGGTGTTGAAGATGGTCGGATCACCACCCCCCTTTTCTGCAAGCCATTGAATGATTTTTAGGTGACCTGCATGTGATGCGTGGTAAAGTGGAGTAGCTCCATTTTTATCCTTGGAATTGATGACACGACGTGGCTTGGCGTGGTTACGGTAGGCGATGGCTGTTAACCAACGTAGTATTTCAAGATGGTTCTTAGCAGCAGCAAGATGTAAGGGGGTGATTCCGTTGTTGGCAGCACTATCAATGGAAGCATTTGCATTTGCCACTAACCACTTCACCACCTTCAGATGACCGGATTGCACCGCCCAATGGAGAGGAGTGGCTTGGTTTGCATCCTTGTCTTGAGCACTTGCTTTTGTACGACTGAGGATATACTGAAGACAATCTAGATTTCCCGTTCCTGCTGCATCGTGGGCCGGGGTAGCGCCGTTTTTAGCCCTGGGAACACCTTCGACATAGTCGTTTTCGATGAGGTAGATGAGAATGGAGCTCTGCCCCTTTCGTGCGGCCACATGCACTGCAGTGACGTCGTGCTCGTCTTTTACTAGCTGACCGAGCGTTTCGAAGGTATACATAAGGCAGCCAACGTGTCCTGCTCCAGCTGCTTCGAGTTGGGGATGCTTGGTTTTGCTGCAGGTAGAGCAGAGGCCTTTCCGTGCCGAGCGGAGAACGCGTCGGAGGGAAGCGAAGCTCATCTCAAATGAGCCCCACCCCCTTTTTCGGAGTCGAAAGTCCAAAATCGATACAGCGGCAGCACTTTCTCACAAGGCGTCAGTCTCCACGGCACCGACGTGCTTATGCTGCCTTTCACACACAAAGAGCTATTGATTATGAACTGACTTTACTGTGTGGTGGTTTCTGCAGTTGCACAATCGGAGTTTTCGGGGTGATTGTATTCACCGTCCGAAAAGTGGTGTAGTAGAAAACATGGGTGTGGCACTGCAGAGCTCTATATAGTATAGTATATATAGCTAGCTCTAGCCTCTCTCTCTAGCTCCCCCGATTGCGCATGCGTACAATTATGAAGGCGTGGCTAAGGGTGCTTCTTCTTTCCCGACGGCTTCTGAGATCTACGAGTTGTGCCATAGGCAAAAGAGAGGTTACAACCCTCTGTCGTACTTCTTGCATACATTTCAAAAGAGCCGGTGCCAGTACTGTGACAATGGCGACTGGAGCGGACTTACCGCCAGTTGCAAAGCACCAGAATCGTCTGGCCAAAGAGAAAAGCCCGTACCTCCTGCAGCACGCTAATAACCCAGTGGATTGGTGAGTGAATTCATTGAAAATTAACACTGTCTATTCACTATACATACTGAATTTATTAACAACGACCCATGGAGAGGCACCACTTTGTGACTTTTCTAATAATAGCTCGTTCTAACGTGGTTCCAGGGTCTCTGCCCCAGATCTCACTATCAGCCAGGAGAGAGGTTTGGTGACTAGATATCAGCAATTTCTGCTGAATTGACTTTTGGGACACCGAATCATAGTATGGTGTAGCCACACCCACGAGCACAAAGCGCCGCCAAGATTTGTATACATCAATGACAATTCCTAAAGTTTTTTTGCAAGCTAAGGTGCTAATGGAAGGCGAGGTGTATGTGTAAACTGAGTGGATTGCAGTGATTCTGCAGTAGTCATCAGCAAACCCTGGTGCTGCTTCATACACATGCATACGAGGTCTGGGCTACGCCAGAATAGAAGTATCACGTGCTGCTATGCGGGTAGCTCTGTAAAAAATATTTCCACCTGCATTCTACAACAATAAGCTTCTCAACAGTCACCACTAGACACCTTTTCCTGTCCTGGATGATGGTGTCTGAGCTAAAGGGGTATAGTCAAATAGCCAAATCTTTGTAAATGTACGTTTTTGATGCTGTGGTCTCCAAGGTATCCTTGGGGTGAGGAGGCTTTTGAGAAGTCACGGAAAGAAAACAAACCAATCTTCCTCTCTGTTGGCTACTCTACATGCCACTGGTGCCATGTGATGGAGAGAGAGTCTTTTGAGAACGAGGACATTGCAAAAATTCTCTCTGAACACTTTGTTTCAATTAAGGTTTGTTTTTAGTTGATACACTGGTACTAAGTCCCCCAACAGCGAAAACCTCTCTATAATGAACTTATTCCCAGGTACCAACTGACTTTACTATATACACATATTTTTCAATAAGGAAGCCTCTAATTAATGACAAAAAATTGCTGTCCTAATACTTTCATTATTAATGGGAGTTCCCACTATATTCGTTTTACTCACGCTGAATGTTCTTTTAACTTATATATAGGTAGACAGGGAAGAGAGACCAGATGTGGACAAAGTGTACATGACATTTATTCAGGCCAGCCAGGGAGGAGGAGGATGGCCAATGAGTGTTTTCCTCACACCAGAGCTGGAGCCTTTCCTGGGAGGAACCTACTTCCCTCCCGAAGACCATTTCAACCGCCCTGGCTTCCCCACTATTTTGAGGTCAATTGCTAAACAAGTGAGTGGAGTAGGTGAGACTCAGTTGTGCGATCCCCAATATATTTGTATACAAGTAAATTGAAAATTCTTCAAATTAAAAAAATTAATGGGTTAATAATGGGATGGTATAAAAAGCTAGGAGACAAGACTAGTGCATGTGATGCAGTAGTACAATGGATAATCGCTACATATTTCAAACCGACATTGCTCACTCATGAGTTTTCCTCCACACAAGCCCAAACCCCACTTGTACTCACATTATGAATTTTTTTATGGTGTAAAGTGTGAGGACAATGGGTAATGGATTCTCTGGAAGGCCAAGAACTCAGCTTTGTAAAACTGGTTAGTTGAGTGAACATGGAAATGAGTCACAACCCAGAACTGGGGCAAAACCTGTGCATGTGTCAACTACGAGGTGGAAAGCAAAGGCACAACAAACAAATCAACTACACCCAGGACAGCTCTTTTAAAAAGAAGAGCTGCCCTTGGGGGGATTCGAACCCACGACACTGCTCTCTAGCCGAGCATGTTCCCAACTGAGCTACCAGGGTAACTCAGCTGGTAGGGGTTAAAATCTACAACGCAATACAAGACAAAGGCAAACCTCAAACCACTGAGCTATGGCACAGTATACTCTCACTCAGTACTTGTTTAATGCTGTAGGTCCCACTTAATATCATACCGTTTAATAAAATATCCCGTTTATTACCATATAAACATGAAGTACAAAACCATTTCCTATGCTTTCCCATACATTTTACTCCTTTTTATGGAATACGGATAATAATTATCCTGCCTATATATTACCGTAGAAAGCAATTTGTTTTGAGCCTAGGTAGGTACAGTCATATGTACATAAACAAGCAATGTCAGTTTGAAATAAGCCATCATCCTGCATCACATACAGTAGGTTATCCCTGTCTCCTTGCCATTTGAAATTTACTTGCAAGCATTTCATAACTCCAGTATGTTTTGTTGTATGCACTCTCTTGTGGTGTGTGTCAATTGTGCTCAGCTGCACCTGTTCTCTGTTATAGTGGGAGAAAGATGAGCAAGGCATACGCCAAAAGAGTGCCAAAGTAATGGCTGCGCTACAGCAGATGGTTGAAGTAGCCAGTGATGAAGGTGAAGGACCACCAGGGCTGAACTGTGTTCAAAAGGCCTACCAGGCACTTAAAGCTAGAGAAGACAAGCAATACGGGGGGTTTGGATCTGCTCCAAAATTCCCACAACCAGGTACTATATCAATAGGGCTACAGAAACTAAGGGGTGCTATACAATGAACTTCTATACTTTATCAGCAAGTGCACACATTACGCCCAAGAAATGTGTAACTTTGGGGTGTCATCGGAAAACAGCCTAGTAATTATGAAACACACACCTGTAATTTGAGTACCGCACATATGCAAGGCATAACGGAAACACATGTGTCACTAGTTTAAACGTGGTCACGAACACGTTTACACGCGATCACGAATGCATTCGTGTTATACCGTGCATCTGAGCGGTACTGTAGACCACAGCGAAGTGAGAATGAGTGCCAACAAACTGAGTTCGATTTGGCGAGAATTTCCTCGCCAATGTATATAAAAGAATTTGTGATGAAAGCTACAGCATATACTAGAGTTCCCCAGTGCAATATGCTATCAAGTGAAGCATGACTGTGCTGGCACCACCGACAGATGTTTGAGTAACGCATTGAGTAGCTGTTCAGTAGGGTCTGATGTAGTGTTTCAAAGAGTTATATAATAATGACACCAGAGTTACATGCTTCTTGGCCACATTCGGCAGGTCATGCACTACGGTTAATGCTATGACACACAATGCAACTTGTTGCATGTGATATTGCATGCGACTTTAGAGTGATGTTCTATGCAACATGTTGCACACAATAGCAACTTAGTTGCACTAGATTATTTGAAGTTGCATGCAGTAGAGTAGCATCATGTATTATACCTGATAGTAATGTGATGGTGCAAAGGACCTAAAATAAAATAATATCAACATTTCTGTAATCTACTGTGTCATCCACTGTGCACGCATGGAGTTTTACATTACTCACTACAAAGGAATGGAAGAGATCCCTTGCCTACTCCATAAAGTGCATGTTGATATGTTTGTTTCCTTCGTGCTCGTTTGTTTTGCAACCTGTCAGTTTGTTCTAGCTCTAGTACATTTTCGTTCCTAAAAGCAATACATCTTAGCTTTGTTAGTTTCCTACTATTTTTGATTACCTCACATAATTCTTTGATGCACTGGTGATATGTGATTCATTTTATGCAGTAATTTTGGGGTTCCTGCTCAAATTCTATGCCCGTTATATTGGTTCTGAAATGGGACAGAGTGCCCTTGACATGGTTCTAGTTTGCCTCCGGGCCATGAACAATGGAGGCATTCATGACCACATTGGCCAGGTGAGGAGGATAGCTAGTGAGGTAGAACTGCAATTAACTGGCTCATTGATTTAAGCCGGGTCTTCCTCATAAAATGCCAGGTAAAATGCATACTACAAAATGTGGGACTAATTTTGAGGTTTCTTGCTAAAAAGTGTACATGTCACAATGTACAGGTAGGTCACTGCGATATGCATGATGTCTGTGTATAATAGCAGATTATTATTGGAGTATGCTGAAAATCATGTGTGTAAGGTATCAAAATTAATGATTCTTCATATGCAGGGTTTTCATCGATACTCAACAGATGAGCTTTGGCATGTTCCCCACTTTGAAAAGATGCTCTATGACCAGGCACAACTTGCTTGCGTCTACCTGGATGCCTATCAGGTTTTTCACTGAAAGTTGAAAAGAGTATAATTGAGCCAGCTCTGTCCTATTTTATTAAATTCTTTTATAAGGATAGATCAGCTTGTTCACTTGGTTTTCATGCCATAACTTTCGGTGCAGTATTTTTACCAATATCGCCATTTTAAAAATCAAGCCTGTGCCTGTTTACATCGCTTTTGGTCATTTTGTTGTGTATATGACAGATAGTCAGACGGATGGAATGACAAGCCAAGTATAATAACCCTTGGGTTCAAATGGCTGCGTTCAAGAGATATGGCATGAGGACAATTAAAAATACCATTATGCATTGTGGAGGGCTGAATTTGCTCAGGGGGTGCCTATCCAGTCAACATGGTCATAAATTACCAGTGCCCTATGTGCCCAATTGTTCTCATCTATGCTAACAATTTCACCGAGGGCATTGCTAATTGTAGCAAGGGCAGTGGCCTGTTGAGGTGCTCCCGCTTACGAAAGTTGCTTAGCATCCCTACATAATCAGATCCTATCACACATACCATTCCAGATCACTCATGAGGAGATATTTGCAAGTGTGGCCAGGGATATTCTTCTCTATGTCAGCAGAGACCTCACCGATGAGGTGGTATTCTTGTGATGTTAAGATGAAACGTTTGATTTTTTACCTAATGCTAGGAGGGAGGATTCTATGCAGCAGAAGATGCAGACTCTTTTCCACTAGCCTCATCTGAGCAAAAGAAGGAGGGAGCCTTTTGTGTGTGGACAGAGGGGGAAATATCTTCTCTCCTTTCGTCTCCTCTTCCCTCCTCTTCCCTCACTGTGGCTGACCTCTTTTGCCACCACTATGGGGTTAAATCTGGTGGAAATGTTCCAAGCCATAAGGTCAAGATGAGTATGAAACAAAAACATTAAAAGTCATGTTCTATTTTATATATAACAGGATCCTCATGGTGAACTGTCTGGCCAAAATGTTTTGATTGTCAGGGGTTCAGTTGAAGAGACAGCAAACCACTTCCAGCTGTCAGTTCCTGTCACAGTAGAGCTACTGTCCAAGGCTAGGGACCAGTTGGCCCAGGCCAGGAGGGACAGACCTAAACCCCTAAGGGACAATAAACTAGTCACGTCTTGGAATGGTATGTGATGCTTCATCTGGGTAGTGTATACTTTCAACTGACATTGAATTTTTGAAGGATTGGCCATATCAGCATTTGCCCGTGGATATCAAGTTCTGGATGAGCAAGACTACCTTGAGAGGGCCTTGAAAGCGCTCATTTTGTACGAAACAAGCTCTACGTTCAGGTGTCTGGTAGGCTCCGTAGAAGTGCCTACAGAGAGAGCTCTGGGTAAGAAGTTGGGGTGTTGTATCCTGCGTGCAATCGATCGTTCTAACTTTCTCGTCTTCTCCACCAGTGTGCTAAGTGTGAAGGAACAGGAAGGTTTTGCAGATGATTACTCATTCCTCATTCGGGGTTTGCTGGATCTGTATGAGGCAAGCCAGGTGACTATTAACAATACACCTACCGTAACTATGAAATACAGTATTTATGAGGAATTATAATATCAGGACCAGCAGTGGCTAGAATGGGCGTGGAAACTGCAGGAAATCCAGAATGAGTTGTTCTGGGATGACAATGGTGGTGGCTATTTCAGCTCAACTTCCCTGGATCAGAGCATCCTATTACGAGTGAAGGAAGGTTAGCTAGTAAGATCAGTAGGAAAGATGGCTCAAGTTGCCCAAAGGTGGAGATTAGCTTCTACATAAATTGGCTGCAAATTTAGTATGATTGTAAATGAACAGACCCTACCTGTATATGTAGGCAAGGAAAAAATCACAAATTATCATGCAAAACAAAGACAATATTATTATATGTTTGCTATTTTTAGATCAAGATGGATCGGAGCCCTCTCCAAACTCTGTGTCAGCCTCAAATCTTCACCGTTTATCTTGCTACATGAACCAACGTTTAAAGCCTTCATCAGAAGCAATCCACTCGACCTTCAATGAAATGCTGACGAAAGCTCCTACTGCTTTATGTGGCATGCTGGAAACATTGTTGTGGTCTAAGAAGACGCCAAAGCAGGTCAGTGTGATAAGTAACTGGGAGTGAGTAATTTAAGGTGGTGACGGAGTAAGAAATTCAGCCATCGATTAAGGTGTTTGAGGCTTTAGGGTGATTTGCCTGCCTTTCTTTCCTACTAATGTGTCATAAACTAGGTCAAGGCAAATTATGCATTCCACATCGAGTCAGAGCAAGCCCACTGACTGTGGTCCAAACTGTGTTGTATATACAGCATAGATATGCACGTACGTATGTGCTCTTCCCAAAAGTGCAGCATTGTACAGTGTTTACTTCATGCATGTAAAACCTACAGTCCAGCTAGTATAGACCATGAAGTTTATACAGGATTTAGGAATGGAAATTGAAAATTGTAATTATCCTGGTGAGAAAGTGTCAACCCATTCTCTCTAGCCCAAGTGCATGTTTTTGAAGTTGTTTCTACTCTCCTTTAGTTAGTCGCATTGTTGTGTTTGTGGCTGCACAAACTAAGTTCATAAAAGGCCCTGCCTACACGTCTTTGGTCTAACAACAGATGATGCACACACACACACACACACACAAAACACACACAAGGATCTCTATAGTGAACATTTTGTTAAAGTATATGCTTGTGAAACCTGTGGCTTCGTAGGCAGTAGAACCTCATTACATCCCTATTACAAAGCTCCGCACGGTGCAGAACGCAGAAATTGGAAGCAAATGGCTGCAAATGAAGACGCTACACTGAGAGCACTAGAAAAGCCAAAAAAATTCAGTTTCTCTCAACATAAAAAGTACACAAACAGACTTTCTCCTTAACAAAGAGACAACTCTCATTGGTATAGAGTGGCGTCTGGCTAGCATTGGCAACGCAGCTGTCACTATCTAAGGGCCAAACCTATACTTGCGAGACGTGTCCACTTTAATCCGCGAAGCTTGATCTTGCTACATAACTCTCTGCAGCAGAATGTTCCACAAGTCTTTGGTCTCCGTCACGGTCAGTCGGCTTTGTGACTTGGCGTGGGCAGCTGACTGCATAGCTTGCTCCTCCCATCCTTCTCAAACCAAGTGTATAATATAAAATTCCGCTCGGAATCCTCCCTTACCCCCCCAATCCTGCTGAACCAAACATAAGGGGAGAAAATTTTCCTATGGAGCGACTGTAATGGGCTGCCTTGGTTTTCAGTAGTACACACATGACCGTTATAGTGGGGTGGCTTTAACTTTTCGTGCTCCTAACGAATGTTCATAACAGGAAGGCCAGGCTTAAACTAACCAACCCTGACTACAACTGAAAAGTATACTGTCAAAAGTGACAGTCAAAACCAGGTGGCCTTTTTTGGGTTCTTACTCCATATTGGTTTACGAGTCAGAAAATGGGACACTAAGAGGGCTGGGTTAGACTATACACTTTCAGGAGGTAAATTGGCGCACAGGGTTACGGTACGTTGTTCTTAAGTTTTCCCAAAATCGCTAAACTAAAGCGCATTTTGTTAACCGCGGCTAGGTCCACCATTTTTTTTCTGTAACTGACAAGCATGCATTGACAAGCATGCATGCATCATACCTGTGATACTTAGCACATGAGCTTGCACATGCACGGGCATCAGTAAAGATATGACCGCAATGTTGTGTGTTTGGTGTAGTGGGCCCAGTGGTCTAAGCTGTCCTTGATAAACTGAGCACAATACCGATGCTGCAAGTTTGTTTAGCTAGCTAATCGTTATTTTGTGAATTCTTGGTATATATTGTGCCTGCACTTGTTGCAATGACCTAGTTTTTTGGTGAGTGGGAATGAGCAGTCTTAATGGTACCATTTTTCTCTTTGCTACATTAGTATGTCCGTTTAACTACGCACACGTTTGACTTGTTATTTGTATGCACAATTGTCATAGAATGTTCACTACAGCTTGTGAGCTCCACGCTTGCCAAAATGTGTGACTGTAAGAGTTTGTTGCAGTAAAGATACAGCATTGGAAAGTGAAATCCATGTATGTGAAGGGGTTGTTGTGGAACCATTCGACAACAAGTGCTGCTGTACTTAGTTTTTTAAGTGTGTCCTGCACAACCAAGCAACAAAAATGTGATTCCAGAAGTTTCGCACTTCATGGCTTTGCATAAATGGCTCTGAGCATGAATGTACATAATTTGTTCCTGCACACACACACTGTGTTCACTCACACACTGCACTCCCTAATACGTAAAGACAGACCAACAAACATTTTTTAATAAGCCTGATGTTGTGTACAGATATTGTATTGCAGTAAATTTGTGTAGAAGCAAGTTGTAGGCAAAACTCTTTTACCTAATTTATTTTTCGCTTTGTTTCGAGCAATTAGTATATCTGTGTATCAAGTGGAGGATGTGTGGATAACCCATTGTGCTGCTTGCCTGTCCTCACAAAAATGTAATTTTGTCATTGTCTCATTTAGCAGAAAGCTTTGGCTGAATTTAATTAAAGCTGGATTCTACATTGCTACAATTTTGTTTATTAGCAATAAATCTGATGTAGGATAAGGAGACGACAAATTCCCCATCATACCCCCAACCATATCCATTCCTAAATCCTTTTTGTTTAAAGTGTTTGTTACAAGTGCACAAAGTGTATGACTTCAAATTCGACATTTTGTGGTTTCCAAGTGTGTACAGGTGTTTTGAGGTAAAGAAAAGTCAAAACCAGAGCATTTTTGACCGTACTGATTATGCTGTTGCATCAGAAGCAGGTCTGCATGACATGGGTTGGCCTCTGGAGACATTAAACAGAGTCTGTCCCTATCAACTTAACACACCAGCACATGTGTGCTGTAGAAACGTTCGGTGTTAGTACATTTGAATCTACTGCAGATTATCATTGCTGGTGAGGTGGAGGCCGAGGACACAAAAACCCTCTTGAGAACAGTTCACACCTTCTATCTACCAAATCGAGTTCTGGTTGTTCATTGGCCCAAGGCCGGCACCTCTTTCCTCTCAAACCACCTCCCATCCCTTCCTGGCATGATGCCTGTAAATGAACAGGCCACTGCTTATGTGTGTGAAAACTTTACCTGTTCATCTCCTGTGAGTGACCCGCAGAAGCTACGGAAATTAATTGACCCAAAGCACCATCTTAAAGTTTAGTTCAAGTAGCTAAACACAATGCTGAGTTGTACAATGCTATGTTGAGGGTGATGTCATTGTTATATTTGGTCATGTATATTGGTTACGTAATGTTGGGTAGTATTAGTGTTCGTGTGGTATGTTTTTGACACTATTGAACTGCAGCCACACACAGATTTTTCGCCAATCGTAGACCGTAAGGAGTGTAGGACAGTCCTTGATACTAGATGGCGATCTGTCTATATATATTATAATTATTGCCGAGCGCATTAGCGTGAGGCAACTACTCCGGGTTGTATTCTCGCGTACGTATGTGTCGTCACGCTTAAGAATGTCAATTAGTCACGCTTAGGAAAGTCATTCATAGGAAGTCTAGCTTCCGCCGTGCGCGCAGATTCGTATAGGAGTCTGGCTTCGCGCGCAGTCAGTAGAGCGTGCGCACGAGCGGCCTCAGTCGAGTCTCGGATCGGAGTGTTTACGGCAGGCGCGAGGCAGTAATGGCTGTGACTCATATAATCAAATCTCCTTGGCGTCAAAAAGAGCTTTCAAACAAGCAAACAAAGGAACGGCAGAAATTCCCTGTCAACGTGGCGTGGCAATGCTTGCAGATGTTGCCCACTCTTTCCTTTGTCATGCTACAGTTAAGCCTGCACATCTGATGCTGCCAGAAACCCTCCACCTTTTGGTGGGAAGGGTTTGGGTCCTATATCCTAGCTAGCCTACATGTCCTGATGTCTCCTCAACCATGCTGCATGTCACCACAATTATCTTGGCCATCTCCTTTGTGCTATTCCTCCCTCTTCACAGCTGGATCAAAGACACTACTCCACTACTGATTCATAAAAAAAAGCAGATTATATGCAACCAAAGGCCCTGGAGGCCTTAGCGTCTTACCAACTTTCAACATCAGTGTATACCTTTGCCCCTTCAAATGTAATCATCACTGTGCAGAAGGCTTGTTTCGCTTCCCAATGCCATGTGTCTCGCCCACTGCTCTCATTGATCCTCTATGCTCTGCTACCACTCAGTCATGTGCTGATTGACTCTTAACTCTCGCCTCTCCAGCAAGTAGCCCACCTTCTTATCTCCTGAGGAAGAGTGCCACAAGTGTATATAGTCACTGCCAAAGAACTTCCATCTCCTGGGACCCCAGCCACCACCACACCAAGCACTTTTGCGACAAATTTCAGTTTCCCTACATGGCGAGACACTCAAGAAAAACCAAACTGAGCTAGCTCACACTGCCAGCTACAATACCCCCTCCACTTTCTTGTACTGTATAATAGGTATAGTCTGAGGAACAGAGGAATTTCTTTGCTGCTTGAGCTTTTTATACGGCTATGTCTTGGAGTTAAGAAAGGTGTGGGGTGATATTACCCTAGCGTAGTTCTCAGACGTGCACCTGGAGACTAGTGCAGAGGGTCCGCGCCACGGGGCTCCAGACAACTCCATAGAACACAAAGTACGTTGGAGTTTCCCTGTTAACAGCTGCTGGCAGATTGAACAACATGCCAAACATGTTGAGAGAAGTGCTTGGCCTAAAAATATTTTCGCACTAAGTCAGCCTCGTCCGCGGAACAAAATGCCATTCCCGACACCCTGCTGCTAGCTGGGGCCTCCGCACAGGACCATCTTATTCTTTTCCTTTGTAGCCTCCACTGAAGGAGAGTAGCCTATTGGGTGAGCAAAAGTTGGGTGGAAGCTACTACTACTAGTACGCTGTGCATGGTTCAAAGGTCACGCTTTCGACCACTTTTCCCGAGCGGACGCGCGCGCCGGAACTTGCTGGACATGAATGAGCTGAATGGGCTGTGTGGACGGGTGCCGAAGAAAGCAGTATTCATCGTGATGGCTGCTGGAATTGTGCTGCTACTTGTATACCACATCAGTTCTTCAACACCTGGGTCTTTCTATGACAGTGATTCAATGACGAGTAGTCAAGAGGAACAGCGTTTCCCACAAGCTATTATCATTGGTGTGAAAAAAGGTGGGACAAGGGCATTGATAAGCATGCTAGACTCTCATCCTCAGGTTGAATCAGCTCGAGGAGAGGTTCACTTTTTCGATAGAAATGAGAACTTCAGGAAAGGATTGAGGTGGTATGTACAGCAGATGCCTTTTACAGCACCCAATGAAATAGCCATCGAGAAGTCTCCAAGCTACTTTATTACTCCTTACGTACCGGATCGATTGCACAGCATGTCTCCAAGTACAAAAGTGATATTGATAGTCAGGGATCCTATTGAACGAACTATATCCGACTACATCCAACTTTTCAACCCTGACCGGATTGGTCAACAGAAATCTTTTAACGATGTAGTTTTGGATGGTCCAAATCACATTAATGACAGAGCTCAAGTTATTAGAGTGAGCTGCTATGATTTACACATTGTTCACTGGTTAAAATACTTCCCTCTAGAGCAGATACATATTGTGAATGGAGATGCTCTAATAAGCAATCCAGCACAAGAGATGATTAGAGTGCAGAACTATCTAGGAGTAAGTGACTTCTTTACGGAGGATATGTTCTATTATAACAAAACCAAAGGTTTTTATTGTTGGCATAAGGTCACAGACAAAGGTGACGTCCATCCTAACTGTCTTGGGAGTAGTAAAGGTCATCAACATCCTAAAATATCTGAGAACACAAGAAAACTTTTGAAAGAGTATTTCTTTGCTCACAATGAACAGTTTTACAAGCTCGTTGGAAGGGATTTTAGGTGGAATACTTGATGATGGCATGTTCGTTGTTTCTATATACACACTCATGACAAAAAGACAACTGTTATCTGAATTCTGCACCTATAGTGATGCTAATATTTCCTGGATGAATGTATGTCTGATGGTACCACTGGTTTGTATCCACCACAACTGCATGAGGGAAAACATGAGCAGTATTGTTAGTGGTCCCAACAATAATGCTGGTTGTAGGTTGTTATGGTGAGCAAAGCAATCCTACATAGGCCATACATACATACAAGCCATCTGAATGATGCACTGACCAAACAAACTCCCTGCTCGATAATGCACATGAGAATCATGTTATACACAGGTTTAAAGGTCGCTAGCTCATAAATGCTCGTTCTATTGATATTGATGACTTACTGATATCACCTCTGTTAACAGTCACATTAAAAGAGGCACAGACTGATTCACACTCTGTAGGGGGAACCAAGGTCCATGTTTTTGTTCCAGATATCTGGGCTTGCCAGGATGGTTCACCAACACTGTCTATCTGCACGGATTATGAACGAACAATCTTAGGATCACAGTGACATAGCTACATAAACTATGTCAGTAGGTGGGGTGAGTTTATAACGCACATGCATACTTGCTCCAGGTCCAGGGGCACCCATAAATATCCAAGTCAAATCATTCTCACTGTTCATTGGTGAAATAAAATAAGGTATTGATGTGAGTGATTTGATATCCTTTGCAATCCTGGGATCACTAGTAGACCTGCATTGTGATAAACACACGTTATAAAGGTTGCCACGTACAAGACAATGTTCATACCATCCAATGTACCACCTCTCAGATATCATAGCTGCTCTTTCACTGCTTAGCTCAAATAGATCCTCCAGATGTCTGATGTTTGAACTATAAGAGAAGAACTGGCCTTTGCTCATATCACCATCAACAGCATCAGGATATCTTTGATATAGACTCTGAAAATACTCATATGAGAGTACATCCATAGCAGACCAATTCATTGCAGCACCAACAACTACGATAGGCTTCGAGCTATGGGCATGTTGGAGAGCGAAGTCCTTGCGGCTAAGATTGACTAGTCGCGGTGCTTCTGCCACGCCCTCGCATATATTACAATCAGCTATAGGTTGGATCATCCCAAACATCATCGCTGGGGTAGGGAGAGCACAAAAGGAACCGTTCCAGATTTGTAAAACAGGGACATGCAGAAGAAGTCCGAAGATAAGACATGGAATGATCGCAAGTGAACACGACATGTAGTTCCGCAACCGAGTTATAGAAGTTGCCTTAGTTGGTTTTCTCTCCTCATCTAGAGTGGCCAAAATTTCATGTAGTGGAATCCCAGCGTTATCTCCATCAGATACAATGTTACGAAGGCTAGACAAAACAAAACTTTCTTCCATTGCCAATGTGTGGGTGTGTCATTATGCAACTACGCGCTTGCGCAGAGGTTTCACCTCCCATAAATTCCGACGTCTGTCAGCCGTCGGATACGAGCATGTTCTGAGAATGAAAGAAATAGTAATTAGTATACTGCTGTTCGTTAGTGCTTTTGCACTGTTTCCTTATGTTGGAATGATACTTAGCTCCACCTGTGACCACAGCCCTACTGTTGCTGCCACTGGAAGGTGGCTCCACAGAAAACATGCTGCCCAGCTCACTGAGATTCAGTCGCGTTACTTGTTTCAAGGTGAGTACAAATTGCTCATGATTGATGATATAATACTTTCTAACGCAGCTCCTGCGTCTGAGTTGAATGGCACAGTGACTGATATAATAGAGGTTAGGATTGCTTCTTTATTATGCAGCTCAAAGCAATAACGCTCTAACTTTAGGATCAGAATATGCGTCAAGAGACCTTTTGTTCAACTACCGATGCAAACACAACAGTCTACAAAAACAAATTAGTGGCTGATTTGTATCATCACCTTCTTGTGGACGATGCACGGAAAATAGTATTTTGTTATGTTCCAAAGGTAGGGGAGTGAGAAGTGTATTTCAGTGCGATAATTACGCAACATGACTCTCTACAGGTTGCTTGCTCAAACTGGAAACGTGTGTTCCTAATATTTGCCAATCTAGTAGACCCAGATGGAAGTCTTCGGCCAAGTATTGACATTTTCAGGCAGGTAAAGTCCATGGAAGACTACTCCCCATCAGAGCAGGAATATAGACTAAGGTGTGTCATTGAAGTGTATGCATTAAAATAACTGTCTACACAACTACTCTCAAATAGGAACTATTTCAAGTTCATGTTTGTAAGAAATCCAATCGAACGGTTGGTATCAGCCTACAGAAACAAAATTGAACATCCCACAAGTGACAATCCCTCTGAGCGTACTATATGGGACGGCATTCGTGCTTGGATCTTACAGAAACACAGAGGCCCAGCACAAGGGAACAATGTTACTGATCCACCATACCCCACATTCTCTGAGTTTATCCATTTTCTTGGTGCCAGTGATCCTGCTGATATGAATGAGCACTACAAACCAATGACAGCACTTTGTCAACCGTGCTCTGTCCATTACAATTATGTTGGCAACTTTGCAACATTGAGACGAGATGCAAACAGAATACTACAATACCTCCACATTAACACCAGCTGGTTCTGGGATCGTGGAAAACACTTTTCAAATCCAACAAACAATTATGTTAATAAGTACTATAGTAAGTTAACATCTAAAGATATCGAGATAATTGAAAAAGTGGTCTTAGTAGATGATATTCAACTCTATGAGCATTTGTTTCCTTCAGTTTAATTATATAACCATGACAACGATATTGACTTTTATGTAGACTTTATGGCAAGCAGACAAACACGGAAAACGGACAACCTTGCTGTTTCATTATGTGTTATTGTTAGGTATTTAGCACTATACCTAATTATATATACACAGGTTTCAAATGGATGTGTCAGCTTAGTTACTGGGGTTTGGTGTGTTTATTTGCACCAACTGTTCATGTTTAATCAACAGCACATACCACAGGATATCTGTTTACATCCAGGAATTCACCCTTGTTGCACTGTATTGTGATGTCACTGATAAGCTCATAACTGGCATGGAACTGGGAGATTCAGCCTCATTTTGGCTCTTGATAACTATTAGACATAACAGTAGAGGTGATAGAGGCTCTGAGAAAACAAGGGCCTAAGTGTGGAATAGAATGGACTTTGAGCCTCAAATTTATGCAAGCTTTAAACGATAGACAGAGGTGGAGTCTTTTAAAATTGGAGGCCTACAGTCCTTTTCATTCCACAATAATTACCACTCCGGAAATCAGGCAAGTGATGCTACTTGAACTTGTGCAATAAGGGTTGTTTTCTCAGAGCCTATTACAATTAGTATGCAGCTATATACATGAATGAAGACAGAGCTGGATGCATATACAGGCGATCGTGTAAAGGAAAATCATGCACAGCTCGCAGACTTCTTTTTGTTTGTAAAATCATTATTATAAAGGTTGTTACAAAGTTGTTTGTGATTGCCTCCCCTAAATTTTCCAAAGACTAATAACGCTAGCTAGAAGGTGGCTGTGCAATGACAGGTGGACTATCTTCATCAGCAAATGACAGAACTCCATTCCCCTGTGGAATATAGAGGCAGAACAACAGGTCATTCTCCCTCTGCATAACGCAAAGCAATGCTTTATTACCTGCTTGGACATAGAATATCCTGGAACATCTCCACCGGAGCAGCGGTAGCCGCCTTGCAACAGAATATTAAATTCACTCTCTCTTCGTTTTAACTATGTATAGAAGGCGAACAAAATGCACAGGCAGCGTGTGAAACAGAACATACCTTATAGATCTGATTCTTCAACTTTGCTGTGTCAAGAGTCAGAGATTTCCTTCACAGAAAAAAGCGAAACTCTTGTTTTAGGTAACTAAGATGCAAGACATTATTTTGCTAATCAATACATGAGAACTAAGCTCTGGTGCATGCAAAACATGCCATCAACCTGCCAGTGTTTGCAAAATCCCTGGTATACCTAATCGATTCTTTTTCTTCTTCCACTTTCACCTGCTTGGCTCTTGCTAGTTCCATGGATTCATTGAGGTGCATCATCTTCTTTTTGTAATGTCTGCATACCTGCATGTAGTGTTGAAGGTTTGATTCTGTGTTTTTATATATCCATTACTCACCTTCTTGGAGTGTTTCTTCTCATCTTCTAAGGCATTTAAAAGTTGCTTCACCTGCAATTCTTCCTCATTTAGACGACGGAGCAACTCTGCATTCTCATCTTGCAGATTTTGCCTAGTTCAAAGATTTGGCTTACTAGCTATGTAGCTCTTTTTTAGCGAGATATGCAGATATTCAGAAAGTGCATAAATAAAGCTTTCATTTTCTTAGCATAGGTATACATTTCCAACATGCGCTGTGAATTGTGGCATACTTCTAGGTTATATGGGTGAACCCGCCACATTAAGCGAGGGGTGCATCAGGTGTTTCCTGTACAGCAACAATTTTTCTAGAAATCATTCAGGTTGTAAATGAAAAGCACTAAAATGCAAACCCTCGGCGAACTGCGCATGCGCGATTGATGGGCTGGGCTGGCATTGCATTAACCATTTTTAAAACCAGGTAGTTATTCCTGCTGAGTGTGCAGATACTTAGCCATCCCTACATAGTGATACAGCCCATGTATGTAATGCAAGTTTATCTAGGTGCAAGATGAGACATTGGCATGGCATACCTTTCAATATCAAGTGTCTGCTGATGAATTTCTGCAAGATGAGCTACCTCCTTGTTAGCGTCCGACACGGTTAGCTCCAAGGCACACACAGTAGATTGTAACTTAGCACAATCATTCTCCAGTTGCTGTTTTGTTTCAAGCAACCTACATAATTATACACAAGAATGCTTACTAGTAATTACATGCATGAGACTGTTCTCAAAATACTATAACTGTCAACTCCCTGCGATCCTGGGCTATTGCATGCTACTGGCGATAGACTCAGGTTTAGCTACACCACACTTACAACTAATGAGCATAAAAAAATTACCGTTTGTATTGAGACTGGAGACATTGGTGTTTCTTCTTATAATTCTTTTCCATCAGTATCTGCAATTCCTTCATGCACAAAACTTGGAATCAATTCTGGAACCGTGTATTGCATTCACAAGTACGCAAAAGTATAGTTTTCAAGATACATCTCTGGGACAACCAAGTTCTATAGACTGCATCTAAGGCTATAGATCTCTGAATTTTGCTACAATCGAAGAAACACACGTTATTAGGTCAGTCAGTTAGTTTTGGGTATCACACCCTCTAGACTAAACTTTTTGAACTGGACTGTGATTAATGGCCTTCTACATATTATTATTATCATCCTTGCAAGGTGTCTGCATGCAAACACATGTTCCACCGTCCATGACAAGAGTTTAGCCATAACTAAGGCTAAGTGCTGGTTGTTAAGGAGTGTGAAAAACCTCTCCTTAGGGTCACATGTATGCTGTTTCCACATTTATGGCTAGAGAGAATACAGTCAGAGGGGATGGTAATTGGAGTAATTAATGTCAATACTGCACTGCATTTTTGTGTATACAGATCAATATGAAACCACCCACACCCGCAAAATATGCTTCAAAAGCCAATCCAATGGGCAATGTATTGCTGTTTCTTATCTATACCAATTACCCAAAAGCTGGTCCAAGAGAAACTAGACTTTTCCAATTAAAAACCAGTAATCCACACCTTCTTCACTGCACGCAGATGCTACTGTACATATATTTCCTAATAGGATTCTGACACCACTCACTACCACTACCTACTTATAGCAGACGATACAAGCAGTGCCTTTAGCAGGGCTTTTTGCAAAAAAGTTATTGCTGCTACTGGAAAGGTGCAAACCCTCGTGTACAACCAGTGCTATTACTGGAGCAATAATTAACCCTCGGCGCGCATGTGCAGCGAGGGTTACGGTAGTTGTCTCGTGAGTGTGTCTGTCAGTCTGTCAGTCAGTCTGTGTGTCTGTCTGTTACCAAGTTTTCTGCCACGAAATCAGGCAAATAGCGATATGAACGGGTTCAGTGCTACACTGGGTTGATTTGGAAAAAAAAAAGATTTTCATAAAAATACTGCGTTCTAAAGTTGATAGGTCACACCTGATGCGCTAATACTCTTCTTGTTGCATGTCATAGCGCAAGATGCGAGATTAAGGACAGACAGACAGACTCACAAACCAAGAACCGTGAGCCTTGCTGTTCATTCGCGCCGAGGGTTAATAACCTTCACAGAATAAGGTCCAGTTGACTAACAGCTTTCCAAACCCTTTCAAATTATCAACTTTAGTGCTATACAAATACCATTTCTGTCTGTTTTTCATTCTGATGTTGCTGTTCTGCTTTTAATGATGCAGCCTCAGCCTCTAGCGCCATCTATATATACAACCAAAAAAAGCGGCTGATAATCTCTCCTTGAAGGTATGACATGGAAGACATCTTGCAACTTTCTCGACAATGTGCACACATGCGTAATCACCATGGTACAAAGGTTAGTGCAAATTGTTACCATAAAGCAAGCTGTTCAGGGTTAAGTCCAAACTCCTCTAAGTTTGATACTGTTAGACTAGGTTCACAATACTAACCATTGCCCTGTAGCGCTGTGCTAGACTTGAGGCTAAGCTAGGCTAGGCTCGGACTGCAAAGATAGACTATCCTCACGACATGGCAATGTGGCACGACATGATGGGGCAATGCGACACACTAATTGTGAGCCTAGCCGTAGCTCCCCAAAAGCCAACAAACTCCGCAAAGATGCAAGGGACCCTAATAAACACCAGAGTAGGTATAAGTACAACATAGCTGCTGTTACAATCCAGCAGAGACACTTCATTCCCAGCACAATGTAATTGTCTAATTGCAAATTCCACCTCAAAAACATAAAACTGCTCAGTTAAACACTTTATTCTACAAATTAGTGGGAAGTGTAAAACTTGGCACATGCTGCTGCAGCAAGACAATGATGTAGATACGCTTTGTTTATTAACCCTTGGCATATTGGGGTGCAGGATTTTGAGTTACCACAGGATATGAAGTGACCAAACAGACTCAGTGCATGGAGTTTAAAGATGAAACTTTTGCATTCAGCGTGAAATACATAGGATTAAAAATTTAAAATATGGCTTGTCGCCCATTCAGTGCATTGTGCAGATGTGACATACACGAGCATCAGGTATCCAGGCTATAATTATGCTACCCACTGATGCAGCTACTAGGCTGTTGAGAAACACCAGAGAGACTGCATAGCATGGCCGGGCCCATCAATTACACTGCTTACATGTTAGGACACTGGACAAGTTTAATCTGTACTCACACATTTCGTTGAGAGTTCTTGTACATGATCTTGAAGTGTTGTTTGCTGAGATTTGCTCTTTTCTTCCAGTGCCCTCATTTCTCTAGCATGAATCAAAAGACTATGTAACGCACTGAACAGTTTGTGTGTAGGTGTGTGCTGTTGCCTGACTAACACTGCACTAGCTAAGCAACAGTGACTGCTCACTATGGTTTAGCATGCCACCACCAACATGTACTTTCATGCATGAAACGTGTGTGACCCTTAATGCTCGTGCAGCTCAGACGTGGGGACTCTGTGATTGCATATAGCTCTGATTGTAGAACTTACGGCAGTTGCAAACTTCCTACAACAAACCTGCCATGCCTATGGCAACAAATGGCACAGCCAGACGTCACACATGGACATAGCCTATTTTGAGCCCGAGGAAAGGAGTCGGCTATGGCATAGCGGTATACACATCAATTTCCACCATGGTGCATGTTTGTTTGCATGAGTGAATAGGTGCAGCGAATGAATATGTAAGCACTAGTAAAAAATATGTCTCCATCTTCAATAATGGAGAAAATTCAAATAGTAAGCGACAGTGATACAAATTGCTAAGCTATCAAAGTGGGCCCACCTTGTACTTATGTATGTAGACTTCTGAATTACTCAATTATATTGTATGCACTATTATTTATTTCTAGATGGTGCTGTCCACACTGTACTCCTAAACATAAAAGTATTACGCACTTGCATCTGCTTGCCAGTACAGTATTATTGCATTTGTTTAGTAAGGTTTTGTAAACCTCTCATGGGCAGCCAGTTTCTCCTGTAGTACAGTGTTCTCCCTCTCCAGAACAACTCTTTTCTGCCACTCACTCTGTCTCAGAGCCTGTAGTTGAGTATCTAATTCGACCTCCTGGTAATAAAAGAAATGAAGAAGAACAGTGTAGTTATGTAATTATTTATGAACATTAAACTGTTTTTCATACTTACTATACCTACTACCTCATGCTACACAAAGGGTGCATATCCAGCACCAACTGTCACATATACTTTAGTAACCTCTCTAATCAGATTATCCAGAAAATAATTGAATTGTGACACTAGGGGTTCCTTAGCATAAACAAAACGTGGGGCCTTAAGGTCCTACTCAAGCACGCAAGTGCGCAAATGTGTGCAGATGCGTTTCATGTATTAAACAGTACAAAGGTGAAGATTATAATATGGATTTAGAATCTGCCCATCTTTGGTAGAATCTGTTCATGCACTTATGCACCAATAACTCAACCTTGTTTGCATTCAAAGTTTCGTATTCCTTTATCGTTTCGTTCAACAGCTCCAGTTGTGTGTCATACTCCTTCTTCTCATTCAACATGGCATCGTAACTTTCTTTCAACTTTTGATACTCCTCAGACAATCTACAATTATGTACAAAGCCTTAAAAGAGGTCACAATCTTTGTTTCATACACATAAAAAAATTACCACCACATTAACTGCACATGTTAGAAACAGCTACGTTTATACCACTAGAGTGTGATAGGTTTGATCACATATTGTTTACTTTGAATTACTCAATTGCATGTGTGTGGGTGTGTGCAAAGGTACTGTAATACGTACTGGAAAACCATGCCTACGTATTTCAGCTTTTATTTCAAGCCAAAACTAAGCCACCTCCATACTACTACACATGTATGTGATGTGCGACGCATATGATGTCCCGCCTACAAAAATCCACGGTACTTATATTTATGCACTCGACATCAATATGTATGTAAGAAATAGCAATTTCGAGATCTTAGGACCAAGAGATGCCAGACCTGGGCTGGGGACAGGACTAACAGTCAGAGAGACGTTTTGTTCTTTGATACATTACCATTCTCACATGTGATAACTGGTTAAGAACATTTTGGTGCTTAATGTGCCAATGTACATGCTTTGGATTTCTGTATGCAGACAATCTTAAAGCTAGCAGCCACTGGTAACTTACTGGTAGGCCTACATGGGAGTTTTCTATACTATTTTATACCCCATTTTTCCTTTAAGAATACTACAGAATCTCAGCTATTGCTTGTGGCCAACATGTGTGTATTATCCATGGTGGCCAGTCTCTCTTGAGCCAGGTTGTCGTAGAACATAATACAGTAAAACAATTAGCTCACTTTAGCTCCACACTGCTAATATGGACCTTTTGCTTTGCTTTTTCCTCCTCAATTCCCCTTAAACACAACAACAATAACATGCAAAACAAGGTTCTTAGGGCTTTACAAAATTCCTTACTCTACAATGCGGATGTTCTCTCTACGAGCCTGTTCAACTGCTGCTTGAAGAGTTGTCTGCTTTTCTAAACACTGTGTTAATTCATCTTGGGCGGATTCTAAACTTCGTGACAAGGTAGAGCACTTTACCTGGACATCCATTCACCGTGAAAGAAATAAAATTGCATACTTTCAATATACAAAACAATTAGTGATAAAAATATACATACCTCTAGAGCTCTTATCTGGGATTGGGCATTTCGAAGACACTCTGATTGTTCAAGAATGACCTACAAAACAGATTAGTGTACATAGCAATTACAGTTTGTACTACTGCTTCTATGGCTTTGTTTAATTCTTGTTCTCTCACTGTTTTAATGTCTCTCTAGAGGTTGTTGTTTTGTCTGTCATTGTTGGCTGTTTGGTCTTAATTGGTTAATGGATACTTTTACAGTACCTTAGCAGTTAAATCATGGATGACAGTTAATGTAAAACTCAAAAAGGTTCAGTAGAAACAGATGATGGACAGATGGAAACAGCGAATGCAATTAGGGAGTTTGAAAAACTTCTGAATGCCACTTAATCACCTAGGGAAGAGCACTACATATAAGTGTGTCAATTGCAGGTTATCTCCCATGGTGAAATAGTACAGGCAGAAATACGTAATGCTTTGATAAATGTGCAGTTCCCTTGGTGTTGATACATACCAAATGTTTCACATAAACATTATTCTTGCACAAACCTGGCGATTAATGATGATTTAAAACATTACACGCAAACAGGAATAGCAAAACTTGAGTGCAGGCTGTATTCACCTGTTCTTTCTCAAACATTTTAGCCATGTGCTCAGACTGTGTCTTCTCCAGCTCATGGGTAACAACTTCAACCTTCTGTTCGAACTGCATTAGGTACAACGTATATTCCTGCTAAAATCCATAATACATAAATTATTCACAGAGAGAAACAAGACAAACTATACACAGTCAACTAATTTTTCTATGACGATTGTGTCAAGTTGTGTCTCAAGGTGACATGAAAAACTACATAGTGCTCAGCTAGAAGCACATACCACCCCGTGCGGTATTGTGTGTATTATGTGAGTGCATGCACACACGTTGATTGATAGGTGTGGCAAAAAACCAAAGTTTGCAGGTTCATTTTTTTTGCCGTTTTGGTCAGTGTCATTGATTCCAAGCACAGTGACGCCAGTGTTTTGCTGTTCATGATTGTTTAGCCAGCTTTCAAACTTACTCAGGCACCTACATACAATCTCAAGATTTGGCGATTTAGTGCGGAGAATGACAATGACGGACACAGATGTGTATGTGCGTGCGGGGTAACAATAGATGTTGTGCATTGGGAGCAACTTTCATAGGGATGCTTACAAATCTATACCAAAAACCAACACATTGCCCATCCCTCCGGCTAACCATCATTACCTCAGAGTTAAGTTTCTGCAGTCTTCTGATGTGGTGAACATTGTAAACAGTGTCATTTTGATGTTGAGTCAACTTAAATTTCTCCAACAATGATGACACCTACATAGATCAGTAAAAGACGCATTATGACTGTCAGAAACAGGAAAATAAATTGTTCCCTTCGTGGAAAAACCTGTGTGCATTAGCACCAGTGAAAATCTGTGCAGATTCATTTTTTTGTACATTGGTAACACATTGAGCACACATTCAATTTAACCTCAAGGTCTTGCTCTTTCTTCATGTCTTCTAATTGACATTGGTGACCAGCCTGTAAACAAAACGATAGTCAAGTACAGTAATCCCTGCCATTTTGCAAATAATGCAGTGTCGTGGGTTAGAACGCCAGAGGGTAGTTGTGTGGTTTGCCATTTCCTTACGATAGACCATGCATAAACTCTGCAGAGCTTAGTGTTGCGTGTAAATAAATAATGCTGGTCCGTTCTCCCCTTGTTCCCTGGCCCTTTTCTGCAGGGAATGAGTAGGTCTGCTTGAGCATAAAGAAATGGCTTTATGTGCCAATATTCACAGATTATTCTGAGGGTTGCCCGTTCCACACATTATTCTACACATGCAACAATGGATGGTACCTATGTATGTAAATTTACTTTACCAAAACTGCCTCATACTCCAACTTCAGACGAGAATAACTGCAAACTAATTTGTTGTACTCCCTGAAATAATAACACACACATAAAACAAACCTCAAAATAATAACTCAACATACCCTCGCACGGTCTCCAATTCACTCAGATATGGCTCAGTATTCTAGTAGTACGAAGTATTATTAATCAAGACACAGTGCCACAGAAACACTACTCACATTTTTGTCAACATCCTCAATACCTCTATGTCGCACTTTTAGGATCTGCAGAGATACACATATTTGTACAGTTAACATCCCACTACCAGGCTCTTTGAAAGAGCACTCAAAAGGGGTGCCTTTAGCAATTATTCCAACACGTAAGTACTTGCAATCATTACAGGATGTGCAATAGTACAGCAGTTTATCAACTAGGAGAAAGCTAGTCCTCGTAGTTTCCTCTGTAGGATGAGGAGAACACAGAGAAATACTATCAAGGAATGGTATTGAATAGTACCCCCAGGGCCTTTTGGAAGGTTTTTACATTTTTCTTGCTTTGCGCTATATAGCCACACTCTAAAATAGTGAGATTAAATGTCAGGGAAACCACACAATTTTTGAAGCCTTAGGCCCTTTAGTAGCGTGGGAATGGCTTCCTTAATCCACGTAGTTTCCTATGACTCATTGTCTAATGGACAGCAAAACATTCTTTAGTGATGGTCTTTAAAGACGGACAAGTTGATTAAAGTCCTGCAACTAGACTGGCTAGCTGAAAGTCTAGGCTCAGGAAAGACTAGCTTTATTCAAACATTCACTTAATCACACTTACTTGCAATGAGAGATTCTCACATTCGGCAATCTTTTGATCTCGCTCTTCCTGCAAAGTAGCAATGATTTCCCTGGATTTGTCATGCAGTTGTTCATATTGTTCCCAAAGAGTGGCATATTCTTCTTGAAGGCTCTGAAGAACCTGTATGAAGCGTAGTGTTACGCAAAAAGTACATACATACATCACATAACCTTTGCAAAAAAGGCACTCACATACAAAGATATGGCAAGTTTATATGTCCTGCTATATACCCTCTGGTGCTGTACGCACACACACATTCAGGCATAATGTTCAGGTACATGTTATCACGTGTGTTGCAGACAATGGAAGAAATTTAGGTAACGGGGATAATGAGGGCTCGCAAGTTGTTATCGCTAGTGTATGGGAGGTTGGGAGGCCAATAAGACTCAAGCAGCTGCAATAGAACCAGTAATCTTGGAAAGAGCTAAACGTATTTTGTGTGTTTATCTAAAACACAAGTTAGCTAGGGGGTATGGCGTTTTAAAGGGCTTAGGGATATGGTATAAGCAATAGGTATCTAAGAGCAGGATTTTAAGCCACGAAGAGGTAGGCAAAGAAAGAGCTGGGGTCTGTTTTATCTACAATTTTAAGGCAGAGTGGATGGCGTAGCCTACCTGAACTATATAGGCAGGTTAAGCAAGACTAGGGGAGCTGGTAGCGCTGCACATGCATAGATTACCTCCAGCTGATTGACACAGTGAGCTTTTAGCCACTCATCGGCCGAGCAACGCACCCCACCGTCTGTGAGTACTAACTTTTGACGATGATCACACAACGGTGTTCTTGTCGCCATGTTCCATAAAAGATCGTTGGCATGGCTACAACGCACATGCGCAGTAGAGCATAGTGGTCTGCGCGGCTGCGCTGCATGCGCATGCGCATGGCCTGGATGGATGGATGGATGGCCTGGGGTACCGGTGGGGCAGCGAAGCATGCAGCGCGCGCACGCAGCAGCTAGTTAGCTACACGATACGGACGGCCGGTACGACGGTATATACGGTACGGACGGCCGGACGGCCGGCTGTTCCGCGCGCGTCCTACTCGCGCGTGCTCATTTAACTGCGTCACATAAAAATTACATAATCCTTAACAACGCGTGCGTGGCAAAGGGCCAGTTCTTTTTGCCCCGGGGAAACGGCTAGCTAATTGTTATTGTGAACTTTTAACCTCCGCCACGAGGGAGCTTGTTTGTAGCTCTTGCGAACGGTGCGTCTTCCTTCCCGGTCGGAGGGATGGTTTGGCGAGAGGGGCAGGGGTGAAACAGGAGAAAGAAGTAAGTGGCAGCGTCTGTCACACAGTTTTTAACGCCTAAAAGAGCGACTAATAGTGTTGTGTAGGCCCTGTAGAAGAGTTTGGTCGTGCTTTTGCCTTCTAAACATTTTTTAGACGAGCGGTATGGGTGGTGGGACCACGCGCGTCTGTGCAATTGTTGTTCCCCGTCGTCCAGCTGGACCGATGGTGGTTGGACAGTATGGGAAGCACAGTTACTCCCACTGTGATTCTTCTGCTCGTGTAACTGAACGATTCCACTGCAGGCTGGACAGCGGAGGAGGAGTGCGCCCACAACCTTCAGAATGACGTCTGATACTGGTGATAGATGGGAGTCGATCTGTGCATCGTGAGTGCTGCAATGAGGGCAAACTTGCTTGTCAACGACGCAGTTAAGGCATGCCAATTTTCTGCAACCTGTCTCTACTGGCCTGTCGACAATGCAGTGACACATGCAGCACTGCAGGTCCTCTAGCTGGGGACGTGTACTAGGCGGAGAGAGAAAGAGAGCTGATTGGAGAGCATCCCAGGATGGCGTCGTGGACTTCTTGAGTCTGGTCAACCCTTCTGTGGATTTCCTTGGCCTACCCCTGTTCTTTTTTGGCTGACCTCCTACCGATTGGCTCCAAAACATGACGCATGTGCCGCAGCCATTGTCGTCATGTGCCCGCCAGTTGTAGGCTTCACTAAGATGTGTTGTTCCACCATTAGACATTCTTGTCATTTTCTCCTGGCAACTGAGGCACACTGTTGGTGGGTGAATGTCTGGCTGTCAGAGTGCTGGTCAATGCCAACTGCTGCCCACTGCTGCCCACTGCTCTGGTTTTATGGAGGAGCATGGATATCTGTAGGCTTTTGAATTGGCATTGAAGTTGGAAGCACAAACTCTGCAGTGCTTTTGTAGCTGTTCCAAATGATATTTATGGCTATTGCGGGCCGTTGATGAGTGCGTGTGTGTAGAGTGCCGTCGGAAGTCTCGCGTACACTAGGTACCCGGGCCCCACCTCTCTGGGCTTGCTACGAGCTGACAAAAAATGTTTAGTGAGCGATGTCTTGTGCGAGGTATAGTACGGTTTGTTGTGCACTTACTGCATATGGCTTTGCGTTGATAAAAACTGTGTGAAGCTGGCACTGAGCGGGTTTTCCGGGGTTCCCGTGGCGCGGGTTGCAACAAAGACGGTCTGCGCAGTTGTAAACAATTTTGGCAGCTGGCTGCGCGAAGCTGCCATGGTGATGTATAGTTAATGTTCATGTTCTTTGCAACCATTGAGCGCTGTGTAACGTCAGGATTGGTAGAAAACCCCATAGCAACGAGTCCACAAAAACTACACCTATACGTTGCTATGTCCCGCGATTAAAAATTTCTGGCCGGCCAGCACGCGATAACGATCTAAATGTCCACGCGGAACAGCCGTGGCTGGCTAGGGGGCTCTCAAGCTCTAGCTAGAGTGCGCGTGCAAACCCTCGGCGAACGACGCATGCGCGGTATCGCTAATGGGTCGGGGCTGGGCTGGGCTGGCTAGCGTTTACCCCCGCGGTCTCCCGCTAGTAGCTTGCGGAGAATCTGACACGGGCTAGCTACGGTAGTAGATAGCATGCGGGAGTCGATATACGCCCTTCGCTATGGCTTCTTGTGCCTCCAAGGTATACAAGTAAATAAAAAATCCTGCGGATTAAAAAAAGAGTGCATATAGGGATCATATAAAAAGAAAGGGAGACAAGATAGGGATTGTGTTTGTGGAAGCACAGATATGCTAGCGAGGAGTTAGGACTCCCACAGGTCATTACAACAGCCCTATATCGTCGTATCGGTCTTGACCACGGAGTAAAATCTTCCTCGCATAAGTATCAGCAACCCTGCATACTTGAATTTGGTTTTCTCGTTTAACTGCTTACCGGGGCTGTCGGGTATATACACACGAGCAAGCCACCCTTCCAGGGGGGTGTAGTATTTGGCGGTCGTGCCTGGGCAGGAAGCCCCGCCCCCCCGCATTAATGAGGGGGGAGGAGCGCTGGGTGGGCAAAACGCCCCCCCCAGCCCTGCCCGGCACTTCACGGCCATAGCCGGAAAGAAGAAAAAAAGAAAAAAGAAAAACGCGACGAGAAACAGACGCTCGGAGCTTGCTGCTCACGATTTGGCAAACCCACGCGGTCGATATGAGAGGCGCGTACCCTCACGTGCCTCAATACCCCATACCCAAATCACACACAACACCACGCATGCGCGCCCCTCTGCAGTTAACTGGGTCTAAAGGGGGTTTAACCCCTATTTAACTGCTTACCGGGGCTGTCGGGTACACACGAGCAAGCCACCCTTCCAGGGGGGTGTAGTATTTGGCGGTCGTGCCTGGGCAGGAAGCCCCGCCCCCCAGCGTTAATGAGGGGGAGGAGCGCTGGGTGGGCAAAACGCCCCCCAGCCCTGCCCAAAAGGGAGCCGTCAGGCCCCTCCCCCCAAATTAACTCCCACGAAACAAAATAATGATCATATGACCGCACAACACACCCTATGACGCGACCTAACGCAATGCGCCCAATACACGGGAGTATCCGGTGAGCTGTTCCCGAGGAATCCGGACGTATTGCAGATACGCCGTACTCTCCCACCTTCCCAGGGTTTTGATAACACTGTCCTCAACCCCTCTTGCTGCTGCCGTTGTCGCAGCGCCGATTCGGAAGCTATGACCGCAATAGCTCCCCTCGTTGGTCCCAGCAGCGCCGAGAGCGTCCCGTACTTGCGCCACGAACCGACTCCTTGTCAAAGGGCGTCCATCCGCGAACTTGAACAGTGGGCCGGACCCCGCCCCGCGGACGACCAGATAGCTCAAGAGTGCCGCTACGGGGCACAAATCCGTGTGCGTGCGACCGAGAAATAGGTTGACACCACGACGGAAGGGGTCTGGCTTAGACTGTTTTATCCTCACCCGCACAAAGGATGGGGAGGATGTCTCGTCGATGGCGATGTCGTCAAAGCTCAAATGAACACTCTTGTCGTACGCTCCGGCGTCGGGCACAGTCATTTCGCCTGCCCGGAGAGTTCTTTGGCCGTGGATGACAGGTCAATCATTCGCCGTAAGAAAGGCCTCCCAGCACGCACTACCCGACATGCATGTTGAAGCTGCCCGATCAGCGAGAGCAGCTCGCGTTTCCTGCATAACTTCCGACCCCGCCATTCAGAGATGGCCGCTCTTAGACGAGCACACTTGTCTGCGGGGAGCGACAGCGTGTCGCCCTCCGAGTCGATAAGAATCCTAAGGAAAGCCAGCTGAGATGCGGGCCCCTCCAGCTTGTGCGGGGCGATGGGGAAACCCAAACGATCACACAGCCGAAGGCTTTCCTGCAGCGCCCGACCACATTCGCAAGAGTTTGGGGGGCCGATTATGAGAAAATCGTCCAGGTAGTGCAACGCGTGGACGATGTCTCTCCTCCCGATCGCCCACAGCAGGGCATCCGCCACTGCTGTGAAAAGCTTCGGCGCTGACCGCAGGCCGAAGGGCAGAGCCCCGTCCACGAACGTGTCACCGCGCCATGACTGCCCTGTATGCGTCCGCGATGTCGAACTTTGCCAACAACGCCCCCCGCCCTAGCGTCTTGATACATCTCACGGCATCATCAACTGTGGCGTACGCCACCGAGCAGATGTCTGATCCTATCCCATCGTTGACACTTTCCCCCTTCGGGAACGACAGGTGAGTGATCATCCTCCACTTTCCTGGCTGATGTGGCTTGGGAATGACACCAACCCGGCTGACTCGTAGGGGGGGCGCACCAGAGAGACGAATGAGCCGCCCCTTCCGCAATTCCTCCCGAACATATCGATCGATCGGGTGCGGGTGTTCACTCGCCGATCGCATGTTCTTGGGGGTTTTCTCCCCCAGGTGGCGGCGATAATCGAACCCGATGCGGAAACCTTCCCTGAGTCCCTGTACCACGAACTCCGCAAACTCGCGATCAGGGTGGCCAGCTAGAACTACTTCCCATTCATTGGCGACTAATGGAGAGCTGACCACGCCCACCTCATCGGGTACGACCCTGGCCTTGAGCGGCCGGCAGGCGTCCATCGACCGGAGGTCGTCCATATATAAGTATTTCCCCCTCTGGTCAACCGTCCCTTCGCCAGCCGCCCTGCAGTTACAACCTGCAAGGAAACCACAACCCTCATGCCGGTGCCGCTGTAGTCGCGATTATTACAGTAATTATGATGATAATCGCCTAATGTCAGTCATAACAACGCAACACACAGCTCCCATAGTCACTCCTCGCCCCGACAGCTCTCAGCGACCATCCGTCTCGCCTTGCCCCCGTGAGGGCTTGCCATCCTTTTCAGCCCTCAGTAGAGGGCACTGAGAAATACGGTGCTCTCCAGCGCACCGCACGCACACATGGCGATACTTGCAGGCCGGGAAACGGCAGTCACCCTGATTCCAGGCAAAACATGCCATACGCCCCCCACCTCTTCCCCGCCCTGTGGCCGTGTCACGCCCCTCCGAGGAACTCTTCTCAGCTGATTTCTTGAGTTTCGGCGGCGGGGTGTACAGGGCACACTGTTCCTCCATGTGATCACTTTCCAAACACAGGTGTACAGGGCACACTGTTCCTCCATGTGATCACTTTCCAAACACAGGACACAACAGCGACCCTTTTCTCTGCTGCCTTGTGCTATGAATGTCACGGCATATAGGGACTGGTTGATAGAAGACCAATCAGCTTTGTCGTTCCCAACGACCTGCTGGCGAAAGTACGAATCGTACGCCAGCCATCCTTTCCCCCCACACCTTCGAGCCTCCCGCACCATCAGCGTCTGATACGGCAGTAGCTGACACATTCTCTCTGGCTGCTTGCTGGTCACAATGGCGACGTAAGTGTCGAAGCACTGCACCCAGCTCAACAGATCAGAAATCTCTCGCCGGCTCCGTGAGTGACTGGGCCCGGAGGACGAGCTGCCCGTTAGCTGGGAGGAAGAACGCCGTTGAGCCTCAAGGTTATCCCGGAGTAGTTCCGCCATATCCACGTACTCTCCCCGCAGGATCCGTGACACCAGCTTGTGGGGGACGGGGGGAAGACCCTCACTGAGGATGAAGGGTTTGCCTACGGCACTCTTCGAGGAGCTCGACTCCCGAGCATCGCCACCGTCCTCTACGCCACCACCGCCCGTCATCCCTAAGCCCAGCCGATCGACGCTCCCCGCGTCCGGCATAGCGCCAAGCCCCTCTCCTGTTGGGGAATATATTCGCTCGTCACGCCAGCACGAAACGAACCGCCAAGCCAACAGCACCCCGCCACGCGGCCGTCCGCGGGCGCCAAGGTTGAAGGCACGTCGACCAAGAGTCGCACCCCCGCCACGTGGCCGTCCACGGGCGCCAAGGTACCCAAGACCAGGACAAAGAACTTCCCGAGAGCGGTACTTACCTCCTGGCGCGTCCTCTCCTGAGCTCCCAGGGGGCCTACGGTCCGTCCTGCTGGCAAAGAGGGTAGGTTCTTCATGCAGCAGCTCCCGCAGAGACTCCTTCACGATGCCCTTCAGATCCGTCAGGGACCGCGGGGATTCACCGCTCGCGCTAGGGCCCGCCGAGGAGCCATCGGAAGCCATCATGCAGCAGACGAAAAGGAAAAACGAGACGAGAAACAGACGCTCGGAGCTTGCTGCTCACGATTTGGCAAACCCACGCGGTCGATATGAGAGGCGCGTGCCCTCACGTGCCTCAATACCCCATACCCCACTCACACACAACACCACGCATGCGCGCCCCTCTGCAGTTAACTGGGTCTAAAGGGGGTTTAACCCCTATATTATACGTATGTTTTCCATGTAATGATGTTATGCATGTACATTGTTTTGGTCAGCTGATTATTACGACAGTACACATAACTGCTCGCACCTTGATGTGCATACACTCCATGGGAATGTAGCATGACAGATCGATGAAATGTACACAACAATCATTATTAATAAATCCACACTCAGCCAGTATTCACACATTACCTTCTCTCGTGGTCGTTTTGTACTTAGCAATACTCCTTCATAACCTTCACTCCCACCGTACGACGATATAGGGATGTTGTAATGACCTGTGGGAGTCCTAACTCCTCGCTAGCATCTCTGTGCTTCCACAAACACAATCCCTATCTTGTCTCCCTTTCTTTTTATACGATCCCTATATGCACTCTTTTTTTAATCCGCAGGATTTTTTATTTACTTGTCTCCACTCATTTTTATATACTACTACGTATTATCTCTGTGGAAGGGGGCAAGCCCCTATAAAAATTAATAATAGAGAAAAAATGCCTGTTGTCGTCATGGAAATGAAATGCATACTATCCATGTGTGCTGCTGTTAGCAAGTTTGAGGAGTGAAGAAGTAATTATAAAGAAAAGTGCCTGAGGCTATTTGTTGTTGTGGTCGTCATGGAAACGATGTAATACACATGCGCACCAAGTTTCACCTCCATGCGTGGTACCGTTAGCGAGTTTGAGGAGTGAAGAAGTAATTTTAAAGAAAAGTGCCTGTGGCCTTTTCGAACAATATGCGGTCGTCATGGAAACATGTAATCGTCATGGAAATGATATAATAGGCATACGTACCAAGTTTCATCTCTATGCGTGCTACCATTGGAAAGTTTGAGAAGTGAAGAAGTATTATTTAAAGAAATGTGCCTGAGGCTATTTGTTGTTATTTACAAACATGTATTGTTGTGATTTTGATGTTGGCTATTGAATACATTGTGTATACAAACTTTCTTTCACATAGCTCTTACCAATTGTGAGTTACACCGACACATCTAGTATGGCCATTATAATGTATTGCCCATTATAATGTATTGCCTGGGGCAATTTTGTTGTTGTTTACAGTAAACAACATTGTTTACAAACAAAAATGTATGATGAGTCCCATGTGGTTATCGATATGTACATTCCTATAAAATTTCATGGCTTTATCTCTTTCGGTTTTTCAGTTACGCTGGTCGAAGAAGAAGAAGAAGAAGAAGATGATGATGATGAACAAAACTCCCTATCATAGCCCCATACATCTATGATGCTAGGTACCATGTCAATCCCTATATACTAAGTACTACCGTACTTAGTGATACACAGAGCAAGCGGATCAGGTCGAGGTGGAGCCAGCGTACACCCCGCGTTGACGGAACTCGGTCGGACTAGTCGAGCGCAGTCGTTTCAGGAAAATCGCCATTTTAGTTTTCAGGCTCGCGTAGCACTGAAGCGTTTGGTATCGCTCTTAGGCCGCCTCGTAGCCTGTAGTGCGGGAATAGTCGCGGACTCACACGTACACACAGACCAACTACAGTAACCCTCGCTGCGCATGCGCGCCGAGGGTAATACCAAACTCAGATCAGACAGGGGGGGGGGCGGGGGGGCGGGTGGTTTGTCAAGCACCAAAGAGCCACCACACCCGCAGGCAAACCCTGAGCGAACTGCGCATGCGCGATATTGCTAATTGATGGGCATGTTAGCGTTACTCGCTGTCTCCCGCTAGTAGCTCGCGGAGAGTCTGACACAGGCTAGCTACAGTAGTAGATAGCACGTGGGAGTCTATTCGTTGTGACTTCCTGAGCCCCCAAAGTACACAGAGCGCCCTTATTTTTTTCAGGCTCGCGTAGTTCTGTATCGCCGCCTGGTAGCCAGAATAAGCGTCGACACACACACAGAACACACAGACAGGCAACTACTGTAACCCTCGCTGCGCATGCGCGCCGAGGGATCAGCACAAAGCCAATGATGAACGAATAGTGCTACTAATGAAAGTGCACCTTTTAGTACCTGAAAAGAGTGTGTGGCAATTTTGCAAGGGAAATTATTCTTGAAGCATTTTCCTCTGCTGCATGTCGTGACCAAACCTCAGTGTAGGGCGGCTGCTCGTCAAAGGGGTTGAATAGATAATACCCACTGATCTTGGACAGTTTACACAGCTAGTTTATATGTAGGACGGTGAAAGATTCAAGAGTGTTCTCGAAGGTGTAGAGATAGATGTTAGAGCTGTATGAAGACAATTGTGAGTGGAGACAGTTCGGCATCTTAATTAACCTTGTCACATTGAGCATCAGATCCTCAGCTGGTTACATACTTCCGTTTGACATTTCCTGCCGAGAGAGGGTTGTTCTACTACTACCTAGCTAGTATAGTATATACCTGAGGACAGTCAGTAACCCTCGGCGCGCATGCGCAGCGAGGGTTACAGTGTCTGTCGTAGTCTAGGTCTGTTACCGCGTTTTCGGGTAAAAAAAAAGCGACACCAACTGGTTCAGCGCTACACTGGCTTTATTTACGAGTTTCGTAAAAGTGCCGCATTTAGAAGTTATGTTGTGAAAGTGAACAAGCCCGATTGCAAATCAGCACAGGCTTACCTCCGCGTGTACCTTGGAGGCACAAGAAGTCACAACGAATGCCGTGTATATATCGACTCCCGCATGCTATATACTACTGTAACTAGCCCGTGTCATACTCTCCGCGAGCTACTCTAGCGGGAGACCACGAGTAAACACTAATAGCCCAGCCCAGCCCATCAATCTTAGCGGTATCACGCATGCGCAGTTCGCCGAAGGTTTGCACTTTTAATCAGTGCTATTCATATTATTTATGCTATCACATCCAAGGCAGAGGAAGACGTAGGTACGTACATTGCCGTCCTATCCTCAGAAAGAGAGTATTAACCCACAGAGAAACGGAAGAAAGTACATAATCTAGTTCAGAGGTTGGACAAAATTCAATATTGGCTTTCTCTCTATAGTATGAAACAGAGTTAATGAGATGGAGAATGGAAAGTTTGAAGAGGGACTAACATAACAAGGTGGAAGAGTTGCATGTGATGCTTGGTCGAAATCAAGTGCTGAAGTTCAAGTCAGACATATGCATGAACTCGATGAGAAGGTGGGTGTCTACAGAGAAAAGAAAGTATAAAGGAGTGTCTGTTTCATGATGACTGACCATGAAAATGTGGTAGGAGTGTGCGGCATAATAAGTAAGTTGATGTGCATGGGAAGCTTGGGATGGTTGGAGTGTATCATTAAGCACCCTTTATTATGAGCTGTGGGAGGATGAATTGGGTTCTCTGCTTGACCTATTGGAACTCAGGAGGGATAGGGTGTGCAGTGAAAATGCAAGAGTATGACGTTTTTAAGCAGCCTATTCATCAGCATTTTATCTACTGCGCCTGGCGCCTTGTGATTGAAAATGTTAACGGTGGGGAAAAACTAAACTTCATAATATGCCACTACCAGGGTTTAAAAGTTTGTTTCAGCCTGATCGCCAATTGCACTCAGCCTCTTTGGTGCAACTGGTCTTGGGGATTGTCCCTGAATAAAATAGAGAATAGAATAATGAGCACAAGTCAGCTAGCAAATAAAACAGTGCAAATATTTCATCACACCTGTGATGCCATGTATCTTTGCAAAATTTGTTCCGACCATGTCAGTAGTTGTATTCCATCAGGAGGAACTTCTATTGCTGACGATTTTTTGTTAAGAAGGTACAGCAGCCGTGTTACATCTCTCATCACATTTCTGAAAAAAGAGAGACACCTGATAATAAGCATCCATCGCACATATTAAATTTGATTACCTATACTGCTGGGCTGTTGGGGCATCTTGTGGAAGCTCTTTCAGTCTTCGTCTCATATCATTTAACATACTGAGGAATACCTCAGCATGATTCCTGAGATAAGCAAGCTTCTGAAAGAATTCATTTTCTGAGTCCACATCTAAAGATAATTGTGAAGAGTGTTCAGAAATTAGTAAAAATAATTAATTACCATCAAGTTCTGTATGTCGGTTGCTTACATCGCTCTCCTAAAAGAAAGGAAGCCACAAATTAGCAGGAATTCGTCTTTGAAAATTGTTCATAGGTGAGTAGCATAAGTGTATAAGCATGTCAAGGAGAGCTTTCTTCAATGGGTTACATCAGATTAATTAATCCACACATCTGGTAGCTATAATTATGAATGCCGAAGGGTATGTACATAGCATCCAGTGGGATTTTGAAACAGCTATCTGTTGCTCTCCGGGCAAGTGGTGTTGATCATTTTTGGTACCAACGTTCGTTGATAATTGTGCACAGACAATGGTAATTACATACCCCAAAGAAATATGCATAATACACTATACCAAACGTAAGTCAGCTCCAAAAGTATGTGAGGTTTCCGGTTGAACTAGGCTGGTGTTTGTATCTTCCACCTCAAAAGTACCAGAGCTGCATGTGAATTACAGTGTCAGTATATGTTGTTGCCACCACATTAACACCCAAAATCGTGGGTTTTTTTGAGAAATATATTCGATTAAGTCAATAAAAGTAACTCTTGGGCTCATGGAAACATAGTTAGGTTACTGATGCTATATTATTTTCCTCATTATAACTTTAAATCACCCTTCAATACCTACCTATATCTGTTGAACCACGTGAAGGCAAATACCAGGATAACGACGAGTCCCGTTAGGAGCACAAGTCCTGACATCACAGCTATCACGATTATAGCCCATTGAGGGAGTTGTGGGGTTGATGATTCCGTGGGATCTGAAAGAAAATGAGTGTGAGTGAGAACATGACAAGCTGCACAAATGAAAAGCTATATAATATACATCCTTGTCATCCTTGGTTTTTGCTCTGCTCGTACCAGCCTTAGAGGCTCTAAACCACAACTGGTTGGACGATAGGTTAGTGGGAGTGAATAAAAACCACAAGTGTTGTTCCTCTTAGGAGAATACTTAGCTTTGTTCTGGTATAGAGATAAGAGATGTAGGGGACTACCAGAGAGTCTGCTCACGACAGAGACCATTAGCTAATAATTCACAGGCAGGAGTCAAACCAACCATAGGACAGTCGCCAAGTAGCCAACCCACTAGGTAACTATCTATTGCCTGCCTGAGTTATGAAATGGGAGGCCAGTCTTGCAGACTCTGAGGTCCAGCATTTATCATGAACTAGCATGGCAGAGAGATATTCTCAGGAACGTTAAAGAATTTCTAATAACACAACTGTGAGGACTTTCATGTCTAATGTATTCTCCTTGTCTGCATGCATCATAGACATGTCGCATGCACGTTGGCATCTGTCACAGGTTAGAGTTGATAACAATTGCCAATTGGACTACAGACTACACACAATCACTTGCCTGACTGCTGATATCGTACTGTACTTGTCTAAGTAATTGACATTGGAACTAACCTTCACATACTCTGGCAGTTAAAGTAGTATTTGGAATGATGGTGATCTGAAAGGCTCCATTACAATTGTCAACACATTTCCCATCAGATGTGACCAAATTTGTGCACCTATGGTATGATGGAATGGTGGTTGAAAACTTGCTTTGATCTGTACATGATATAGCTACGTAGAATGCATGAAGTTAAGACTGGCTCCAGGATGTTGTGTAACTTGGTAATCTGACATTAATGTGGCAAGAACGAGGTAGAGATATAACCAAGTTACTTTCCTTTTGCATGGTTCAGCCCAATAATGTTTGTAATCAAATCGGTATTTGCCCCAATTGCGAACATACTTGAGGCAAGGGCCATTGTATGAGCTCCCACAGAAAACACATTCACTGGAATAGATGGAACAGGCTGGATCTGGTTCTTCAGTGAATAACAATAAATATCAGTGCATACAATAAAGATTTTAGCTACCATCAAGACTAATGCAGTCAGTTGCAGAGCCCCCAGGAGTGAAATAGCCACTCATGCACTCACAGACACCCTCCGAGGTGCAGATACTGCTCTGATTGTTGCTGCATTGTGAACCACTGTTGCACGCTGCAGAAAAATAATTATCACTGATACAAACCCTCAACGAGCTGTGTCTACTTACGCATTGGATGTTGAGCCAAGCAGCTAAGAGGCAAAATGAAAAAAATAAGCAAATCCCCCATTGCAAGCGAAAAGGGGGGCGTTACCGGTCGGGTTCTCAAAACCAGCAACGCCTCTTTTAGCCCGAGGTTCAAGGTTCACCGTACAAATTTGCGCATGCGTAGCGCTACCTCAATGTTTGCTGCTGAGTCCGTGACCGCCCGCGACACTCCCTCCTGCCTCCAACCCTGCCTGGCAGTACAGAGACAGAGACGATGGACTCTGCGAAAATGACTAAGACGAATTGGTACAATGTATTCATCCTGGGG